GAAGTAGATCGCCCCATCTTCCTTCTGCAGAGCAGCTGGTAGATTTGTACTGCTGACCTTCTGGTTAGCAACCAGATATCTTATCCACTGCACTACCAATTAAAGCTGTGGCCTACTTCTCCCAAAGTCAGCTTCCAATGAGGCCCTCCTGCACCTATCTGCTAAAGAAACAGGGCACTGTTGAGACTTGCAGAAACTCTCCCCTGTGACACCATGCAGATGTCCAACCTTCTTCCACCTCCTGGCCCAACCCAGCATCGTCTGCCAGTTCTTTCTTCTCAAGACTCCACTCACCAAACCCCTAGATGACCCTAGAGGGTCACTTCACTGGGCTGTTGTTGTTATTTGCCATCAAGGTCGACCCGACTCATAGCAACCCCTCCTTGGGTTTCCGAGGTGGTTATCACTACAGAAGTAGATTGCCCAACCTTCCTTCCGAGGAGTGGCTAGTGGATTTGAACCGCCAGCCTTCTGGTTAGCAGTCAAGTGCCTTAGGCACTATGCTACCAGGGCAGGGCCATTCATTTAGTTGTCTTTCATTTCTCCAGAGCTGGAGCCTATTCCTGTTTTGACATTTGAAATTATACAGCAATAGTGTCTGTGGATTTGGGCTGTGGTTCCTCTCACAGGCTCATAGGCCTTGGTTTGTTGAGTTTTTGTTATATATCTTGGGGCTGGGTCACAGAATGCCTCCTGCTCCACAAACCACAGTGCTTCCCTGTGATTCTGCTAGGTCTTTTAAGGGAGCCCCTTTGGCTGTACTGGGAATGTCTTATACTGGAGTCCACTGCCCAGAGCAGGGTTTAACCACCTGAGTTCCAGCCTCAGTGGGTACTGCCTGCATCTTTCCACTTTGCACCATAACACTTTTTCCTTATGCCCAAAGGAGTATAGAGAACAAATTTCCTTGATGAGAAGGAAAGCATTTTACTGTTTATTACCTCCATGGTATGTGGTAGAAGAATAACATTTTTAGGACAGATAATTGCTGAGTTTATTCAGGTAAATGGGGGGGGGCTAACTTTAGAGTGTATCAGATTACATGTCAATTAACTAATGCAGTTTATACACTATGCATTTCTTTTTTTCCTTTTTGTAATCTTGTTTAGAAATTCCAAATGAACACAAAGAAAGGCACAGTCTACTGATCAATAAACTTCTGAAAAACAACCTTTCTCCTACTGGCTTTTGGTTTTCAAGAGAATGTAGACCAGCTATCTGGGAAGTAAAACATGGATCCATTCTGAAATACTACTGAACCATTAGGGAGAGGTTGTGTCTCTTCATGCCTTCCCTGTATTCCAGACTCTCCCTCTGTCCTCTCTGGGTGGAAGAGACTCCCAAAATGGGGCTACTTTAAAAGGAAGGCAGTTCTATCCTGTTGGGGACAAAGGAAGGGGCAGGTGAAGGGCAGCAGAGGCTGTGTCTGGGGTTAGACCCTGAGGGAAGGTTCAGGCCCCAACAGAGAGTGGTGGGAAGCCAAGACTGGAGGGAATCAGGAAGACAAACGCTTTGGAGGTTGGGGTCAAAACTATCATTAGTCACAGACCCTGGGTCAGTCCTTTTCATCCCTGTCACTGAGCAATCTCAAAGAAGACACAGGCCTGCCACAGACCCCAACAGATGTATCTTTCTCTAGCCAGGAGGTGGGACGTAAGCCTGGGGGTGCAGGGGTGCTGAGGTGGAGCCCCCTACTGGCTAGCACAAGCTCAGCCACTTGCCACACCTCCCAGTATAGACATTTGGGATTTTCCCACTGGCACCCATTGACCCTGTCCTCTGCAGAGCCGTCATTCTTCCCTCCTCAGTCTGAGCCATGACGTTTGAATGAGATAGACTCCACCCCCTATTTCCAGGATGGGTCCTGGTTAGGCTGAGCCAGTTAGAGTATTTCACCCCCTGATCACCGAAATTGGTTCAGGAATTGACATGTGGCCCAATTCAAGGCTATGAGAGCCAGGCCCCCTAGACAGTTGCTCCAACTCCTAAGAAAGATGTTCTATCTTTTTTGAACTATGTAGTATAAAGAAGTGAGACTAGTAGTGCAACAGGATAAATGGCATTGAGAATACCCAGAGCTGCTGGGGGCAGGGGAGCGAGATTAGGCTGACAGCAGCCATCCTGTGGATCATGAAGGAAGCACTGAGAAAGTCAGAGGCATTCCAGGCCCATGTTGACATCATTTGAGCTGCTAAATCAAACCTCACCTAAAGTCTTACTATTACTAGACTTTTCAGTTTATGTTGGCCAATGCTTGCCTTTCACATTGTTTAGGCCAGTTTGAATTGAGATTTCTGTTGCTTCCAAGACAAATAATCCAAAATTATGTGCTGACCAATGAGAATTCTTATTTCACCAGGGGCTGCAATTAAACATAGCTGACCCTGGCAGCCTATGCAATGGTTTCAGCTACAACTGAGCACAGGAGGAGGAAAAGCAATTCCCAACCCCACTCAATACATTCAAATACAACAACCACTGTAAGATCAATGTGCAAAGTGTCATGCAGGTCTGCGCACTCTGCCCTGTTCTCTGGTGCTCACAACATCACATGAGATGCTCTAAGCCAAGGGCCATCGAGAACAAACATTCCAGGGATAAAAAGGTGGGGTAAGGGGACTCACTAGAATAAGCAGGATTGTAACCTGGGCTTAAAGGATAGGTGGAATGTGCACAATGGGGAATAACAAAGGATATTCTAAGCTTAGAGAACAGCAAAAACCCAGACATGGGGCTGGAATGTTCTGAAAGTGTAGAGGAGACACGAGGAGCAGCTTGGGGTGAGAGGGAAGAGAAGCCTGGTTGGGCAAGCTGAAGGCTTTGAGCCAGGATCTGACGACTTCGGGTTTCTTCAGCAGGCAGTGGGGAGTCCTCATAGGTGTGAGCAGAGCTGTACTTGCAGAAAGTAAATCAGGTGGCTGTGCGTAGACTGATGTGAAGACAGGGTGATCAGTTAGGGGACTGATGATGAGAACCTGCAGGGCAGTGGGGATAGGAGTTGGAGAGTGACCGAAGAACGCTGGAGGCACAGCCGGCAGCAGCCTTTGGTGACTGACTGAACCTGCAGCTGCCAGCGAGGAAGGAGTGAGGGGTATCTCAAGCATCCAGAAGCCAGACAGTGGCAGAAGGGACATCACAGAGGGCAGAGAACAGGGGAGGAGGAAGATCCCCTCAGACACAAGGGAGCTGCTCCTACCCCAAAAGCACTCTAAACCAAACCAAACCCACTGCCATTGAGTCAGTCCTGACTCATAGTGACCCCTCCTTGGATTTCTGAGGCAGTATCTCTACAAAAGTAAATTGCCCAATCTTCCTTCTGAGGAGTGGCTGGTGGGTTTGAACCGCCATCCTTCTGGATAGCAGTCAAATGCCTTAGGCACTATGCCACCAAAAGCACTAGGCCTCTCAATATCACCCTTACTCCCATCCACAGCCAGGGGTTTAGGTGGGGACTCATCTCTGCCCAGTCTTCCAGTGCAGGCTGTGAAGCTGCTATTACCACAGGCCTTGGCCGTTGAGATGCCCCCCACCCAAGAAGATATCTGCTTACAGTCAGCGGGGCTGCTGGGCAGAGGCACTCATGGTTTCATCCTCTGGTCTGAGTTTAGCTTGACAGTTCCACAAAACCACCAGTCAGCAAACACTTTCCCTCTGCCGTTCAAGTTCAGGGTTGCTGAGGGAGGAAGCCAGGTGCTGCTGGCTGTAGCCAGCCCCATGGGTGCCTTGCCATGGAACCTCAAACAGTTCACACTCTCTCTGGTCATGGAGGAGATGATCATTTCTATAGCCTTTGCAAGTCCAGGTTACCCCTTCCCAGGGGAAGCCCCCTTCACAAAATAGCCCCCTGGTTTTTAGGAAATACCCTGCCCTTCAGCCCTGGATTAGGTAGGTGAGCACTGCTGTCAGGGCCTGGAAAGCCTGGCCTGGCCTGGCCCAGCTTAGGGCCTGATGTCTCTCTGTCTGTGATGGTACTCTGTGGATATGGATGACAGGAAAATTGCCCAGTCTGCGCCCCTGACCTCTGCCACTGAGGGTGCCCATGGAGGCTCCTTCAGGTGTTAAAAGGCAGTTCCAGACTGAGAAGTGGGCCCACAGGCTTCCAACTGGTGGCTCAGCTAGCCTGTCCCTTTCACCCAGCTAGAGCTGACCCCATGGTGCCCCAACTCAAAGGCTTTCACAAGACCACGTGAGACCCCTCTCATGGGTCTCTATGTCCTGTGAGCCAGGACCCCTACCTGAGGGCAAGGTGGGTAGATGGCGAATGGGATCCTCAAGCAATGGGCCTGAGACATTCTTCAGTCATCCCCTCCCAGTCTGCTCTATGCCCTGCTGCAGGTGGGAGGACAATGCTGGCTGTGTGCTGCCACCAGACATGCTGTCTCAAGGGGAGGGCCATGGCGTGGCCCTAGCTCCAGCCCAGCCTCTCCTGATGTCACTCTCCTCCCTGCACAGCCCCTGTTTATCTGTCATCTCCATCTGCCCATTGGACCTCCTCCCCAGGTCCAGACATCACTAAGGTGAGTGGTTCCTGTTTTCCTTCCCTCTGCCCTATTCAACCCAAAGAGCAGCAGCCAATCACTGCAGTCCAAGGGAGACCTCTGGCAGCAGGCGCTCTGAGAAGAACAATCTGGAAGGTAGGGTGGGACAATGGGGCCATGGGACATTCAAGGGCAGAACACCAGCCAGGTGCATGAGAGCCTCACCTGTCTAGGCTCCAAGCCACAAGTCCTCACCAAATGGGGGGACAGTCTGGCAGAGAGGGGTCCCCATACTCCTGGCAGAGACACAATTTCTCCCAGGGAGTTATCAGTATCCACACTCCTCCCCCACCTCCATCCCCACAACATCTCCAGGCTTAGGGAAATGCCCAGAGACTCCAAAGTCCCCAAAAGACTGCAGCCTGAGGTATTGTCAGCCCCAAAGTCCCTGGCAGTTCCTTGGGACTATAGGGTCCCTGCAGCAGGAGGACACAGGACAGTTCTCCCGGCCCAGGTCCCACCATGGACTCTGAGTATGAGATGGGCCACATTCGCAAGCTGCAGGCCCAGCACACACGGATGCAGGAGAAGACTTTTACCAACTGGATCAACAACATCTTCCAGCACAGCCGGGTGAGTGGAGCATGCCTCAGCCATTGTCCGAGCTCCCTGGCCCATTGCCCCTGGGGCGGGCTGTGACAGCATCTGGCTGAGGCCTCTTGAATCCACAGCAGAGTTCAGGCTGGTGCTTCTTCCTCCAAGGCAGTTGCCTCTAAGCTGTGTTTTCCAGGTCCAGGGATGGGGCAGACAGGTGAGGCTGGGCTGACCCTGCACCTTCCCCCACCCCCTTCTCAGGTGGGCATCAAGATCCATAACCTGTACAAAGAGCTGGGTGATGGCACTCACTTACTGCGACTGCTGGAGCTCATCTCAGGAGAGACCCTGCCACCCCCCAGCCGAGGCCGCCTGCGTGTGCACTTCCTAGAGAACAACAGCCGAGTGCTGGCCTTCCTCAAGGCCAAGGTGGGCTCTGGGCAAAGGGCGCCCGGGTAGTGGGGCTGGGGTGGGCAGCTGGGTCAGGCTGGCCTAGTGCATCATCTCTCCTGAGCTGAACCGTGGGCCGAGCAGAGGATTGGGGACGTGGATAAAGGAGAAGCAGGTAGGATATGGAGGGACCGGAAGTCGAGCCCCTCCCCACACAAGCTCCTAACTGGGAGAACCCCCAACTGACTGAAGCAGCAGACATCACCCTTACTGGGACAGAAATATTCTTCTGTCTGTAATAAGAGAGAATTGCAGGATTTAAAAGCTGAAAGAATCTTAGTGTTCTCTTAACCTTCTCATTTCATAAATGTGAAAATCAAGACCCAGACATATTTGCCAGGCAAGAGTCACGGTCAACCAACCAGCAGAGCCCCCTTGTGGAGCCATGGAAGGCAGGCTGAGGCAGGAAGCAAGAGGAGGATTCCCAGCCGCTGGGCAGGGCTGTGGAGGGGAGAGGTGCCAGGTCTGTCTTAGAGAAGCTGGACCAGACAGCTGAGGGGGAAAGGGGAGCCAGAGTCACCAGAAAGAAAGGAACAGAGATACTTGCTAAAAGGAGGCAGGGGCGCAAGGGACACGGAAGGACCCTGTTTTGGTTTCTTAGTGCTGTTGTAACAGAAATACTAGAAGCAGGTGGCTTCAACAGACAGACGTTTATTTTTCTTATGGTTTAGGAAGCTAGAATTCCGAATTTCAGGCACCAGCTCTAGGGGAAAGCTTTCTCTCTCGGTTGGCCCTGGAGGAAGGTCCTTGTCTCTTTTCATCTTCTGTCCTCAGTCCCTTGGTGATCTTCATGTGGTGTGGCATCTTGCTTCCTTGGTCCTGTGCCTAATCTCCTCCTTTCATAGCTCAAAAGTGATTGGGTTAGGACACATCTTATATGGATAATGGACTCACTAGCATAACAAAGAAAACCCTATTCTCAAATGGAATTACATACACAGGTATGTTGTTCTGTGCCCTCAAGTTGATTCCAACTCATAGCGACTAGGACAAAGTAGAACCACCCCAAAGGGTTTCCAAGGTTGTATGTAATCTTTATGGGAGAATATCATTGTTGTTGTTGTTGTTGTTACAGGCCGTCGAGTCAGACCCGACTCATAGCGATCCCTCCTTGGGTTTCTGAGGCAGTATCACTACAGAAGTAGATTGCCCAAGCTTCCTTCCAAGGAGTGGCTGGTAGATTTGAACCCCTAGCCTTCTGGTTAGCAGTCAAGTGCCTTAGGCACTATGCTATCAGAGCTCCCTAGAAGGGAGATTATATGGATCCCCCTGCGAGCCAGATGTGCCGGGGGGAAGCCAGGGAGATAAGAAACCAGAGTAGAGGGAAGGGGAATAACCGTGGTCACCAAGAAACTGCTGGCCACAAGATGCCAGGCTCTATCTGATCCCAAGACAATGACCCTGTGAGCTGGCCATCTTCCCTTGGGAACTGAGGGCAAGTGGTGAGCCCATGGCCCTTGTCAGAGGCTTTGCGGCTCTCTTAGCACTTTGACAGACAACATCTTACATTGACATATAGCCCTGTGAAGGTGACATCCTTTGACTTTGGTCGAGAAAGGCCAAAGGAGTTACCCCAAAACACACTGTTCATTAATAGGATGAAGATCTTACCGTGTGCTGGGCATGCTGTGCCAGGCTCTGGGGAACACAATAAGGAAGCTCAGAGTCTGATCCCAGGGAAACCACAGTTTCAGAGGGGGACAGTTTAACTGAACCCAGATCAGTGGTGTGCTGGTATTTAACAACCAGCCCTCTGGAGGGAAATAAAAGCCCTGGTTTGTAGTGTTTCTGATTTCTGTGGTGTTACTATTCCCACCAGGAGTTCCTGGGTAGTACAAATGGTTAACACACTCTGTCCAGTGGAGTCACCCAGAGGCACATCAGAAGAAAGGCCTGGCAATATTCTTCCGGAAAATCAGCCATTGAACATTTTATGAGCGCAGTTCTACTCTGACCCATGTGGGGTCACCATGAATTGGAGCAACTCAATGACAATTTTTTGTTGTTTTTGTTGTTTACACTATTCCCACCAGGGCCACTTTCAAGCTCCCAGCATGAGATACACACAATCAGCTCTTGCGAGCTGGTACAAGCCAGCTCCAACACTCCATTGACCAGATATTCCAACTCCAAGCTGAGGTGAACACAGAAGGGATCACAGACGAGAGAAGAACATGGGGTGGAATCATTTAGGGACCAGTCAGGATGCAACAAAGTGCACCCAAGAAGAATACTAGGGACACAGCCTCCCTAAGGCTGGTGGGTGGCTGAAGCCAGTGCCCCTCCAGGTCTTATGGACAGTTTCTCTCCCTTTCTGTCTTCATTCAATAAGTATTGATTGAGTACCTACTATGTGCCAGACACTCTACTGGGGGTGCTTAGGAACAAACCTAAGATCCTAGCTAACGTGGAGGCTTACATTCTAGCAGGGGAGGCAGTTAATAAACAATAAATAAGTAAATTATTATAGTATGTTAGAAAGTGATAGGTGATGTGGGAAAGAATAAAAACTGAGCAGCGAAAGGAGATCAGGCACGTGTATTTGGGTGGGAGGAATTGTCCACCAATTTAAATAAGGTGGTCAGGGTAGGAGGCTTCACTGAGAAAATGGCATTTAGGTAAAAACTTAAAGGAAGAAAGGGATACAGCCATTGGATCTGAGGAGAGGGAGTAATATTTTCGGCTGGCAAGAACAGCCAGTCCAAAGGCCCTGTGGTAGGACTGTGCCTAGAATCTCAAGGATCTGAAGAATCCTCTGGGCCTTGGAGCCATGTGATAGAGGAGAGTGAAAATAAACCAGGGGTGATGGGGGCTGGATCACATTGTGAGGATCGAAGCTGTAAGGACTCTGGTATTCATTCATTTTTCTTCTTCTCCCCTTGGGTTTGCCCATCCTCCATGTCCAAGTGGTAAGATCTAGGGCAGGTGGGGGGGGGGGCTGTTCTCAACTTTAGCATGCATAAGAATCACCGAGGTGTTTGCTAAAATGCAAATTCCTGGCCTGGGCTCAAGAGAATCTGAATGGGTGGGATTTGGGAACCTGAATTTCGAATAGACTCCCTTGGAGATGGGACACTGATGAAGAGGCTGAATGAAGTTCAGGTGTGAGCACAAGAACAGGGCTCAGTTGCCTCTCATCTAGACCACCCAACTACCTCTTGGAGATCCTAAGATCCCCTAGGAGGTAAAGATGGACAGTTGTTATGCACTGATAGTTATGACTCTCATTTCTTCCCCCATACACACACACCCCTGGATTTACCTATAGTTCACCCACAGAGCGTCCTGCAGTTCCAGTGGTTCAGCCCATTTCACTAGGCCAGTTTCACTCTGGATAAATGAGCTTGGGGCCAAAGGCCCAGCCATCAGAGAGCAGTGGCTTACCTGGCCTTGTCCTCCTCCCTGCATCTCCCTTGTGTTCTCCTGGCTGGGGCAGGATGCATTCCAGGATCCTCCATCCGGCAGCCAGCCCCCTGGTGTCCTCTCTGGCACACAAGCTCCATGGCTGAGCCCAACCAACTGTGCCCACAGGTGCCAATACCCCTGATTGGGCCAGAGAACATTGTGGATGGAGATCAGACGCTCATCCTGGGACTCATCTGGGTCATCATTCTGCGTTTCCAGATTTCCCACATCTCCCTGGACAGGGTATGTCTGTCTCAGCTCCTAGCTGCCAGTTACCTGCCCCAGGCCAGCCCAGCCTGACCTTGGCCTCCCCTCAGGCCCTGGAGACAGAGCAGTTCCATCCAACTTCTATGATCCCCACAGCAGATCCTTGGAACCCACAATATTTATATTCACTCTCCAACCACAGGTAAAGAGTCCAGAATGTCAGCAATATGATAATTTGGTGAAGTGAAAACTAGAATCATGGGTTTCAATGACTCCATAGCAGATGACTGCCCCACATTTCACCAGGCAAGAGGAAGAGTAGGAAAGGTGTAGATAGCTAGAGAGGGAGTGCTCAGAAGGAGGGTACCATTGAAAGATGGAAAGGGACCACCAATTGTTCTATACTTAGCCTTGAAACCCTATAAATTTATGTTACACCATGATGTGCTGTTGGAGGAATCAAATGTTGTAGAGGACATCCCAGCCCTAAAGGTTTACAAAAGCCTCAGTATCCCAACAGTATTTCCTTGTGGTCCCCCATCTTTCTCCATTCTAACTCTTTTTCTCCCATATATGGATCAGAAAGGATATAAACATAAAGTCCTTTTTATCAATTTGCATACTTTCAAGTTTCTAAAACAGCACCCAAATATTGACTCCAATCAGTTTAGAACACCCAGAAAAAGGAAAAAAAATGTGGCCCATTCAAGAGAGAACCCTGGAAACTCAAGATATGACTGTGAGCCCCAGAGAGCAGGGGCCTTGTCTATCCCCTGAACCTAGCACATTGTTGTTGTTGTTGTTGTTATGTGCCATCGGGTCGACCCCCGACTTATAGCGACCCCTCCTTGGGTTTCCGAGGCAGTATCACTACGGAAGTAGGATTGCCCAACCTTCCTTCCGAGCACATAGTACCAAAAAAAAAAAAAAAAAATCTCACTGCCGTTGAGTCAATTCTGACTCATAGCAACCCCCACTGGATTTTTGAGGCAGTAAAACTTAATGGAAGTAGATTGACCCATATTTCTTCCAAGGAGCAGCAGGTGGGTTTGAATCACCAAACTTCTCATTAGCAGTCAGATGCCTTAGGCTCTGCACTACCAGAGTTCCTTTAGCACATTATTGTTGTTGTTGTTATGTGCCATTGAGTCGGCCCCAAATCATAGCAACCCCTCCTTGGGTTTCCCAGGCGGTATCACTACAGAAGTAGATTGCCCCACCTTCCTTCTGAGGAGTGGCTGGTGGGTTTGAACCATCTGCTTGGACCAGACATCATGCTAAACAACCTAGGGCCTCTGGTTAGCAGTCAAGTGCCTTAGGTGCTTAATAAGTGTTTAGCAAACAAATGGATGGATGGATCTCTAACTGACCTAAAGCCCTTTCAAGAAGCTAAGCTCCTCAAACCCCTAAGCAGTTTCAGGTGCCCCTGCAGCCTTTCCATTGGGAGCAGCAAGTCATCATCATCGCCTGACCAGACAGATCACTGTCCTTCCTGCTGGTTCCACTTGTTCACAGCCATCTCAGGTCCTGCTTCCTGCATAACTCAGAGGTATTCAGGATCAGGCTGACCCTGCACCCTCACAGCTTCATCCCCAGGTATCCTTCTCCCCAGTTCACATCAGCCTAGGTACATAAACCATCCTCACAATAGGCTCAGGCTTTCCATTGTACCTCCATCCATGCCCAGCCTCTTGGGTTATCTGGATATGAGCTCGGAGGCAAGGCTCCAAGGCTTGTGTTATTGTCCATGGGTCTGTCCTACCCAAGCTCCCATGCCCAGGGGGGACACACAGCCTTCTCTGGTTTGACATTTTCAATTCAAAAACAGAAATTGGTTAGGGAGGAAAGTACACAGAGAGAATCAGGAGAGGAGAAAGTGAGAGGAAGAATGGGAGAGGAGAAAGGAGATGTGGGGGCCCTGGCAGTGAGGAAGCAAAGCAGGAAGGGAGTGGAAGGAGGGAAGGTACCAATGAAGGAGGGAAAGGGACTAGGATGGAAGGCTGAGGAAAGAAGTAGGAAAGGGAGGAAGGAGGAGGGAAAGAAGACTCAAGTGGAAAGGAAAGGAGAGAGGGAGGGGCATATGGAAGCCAAGAGTGGCAGAAAAAAGGAAATTATCAACAAGAGAAGCAAGCAGGGGAATGGAGGAAACCCAGATATAAATGAGTCATTTCCCAGCCTGAGGAGCATGGCTGGGTCCAGTCCAGCCCCTCCCTATATGGGATCTCTGGGCAGCTTCCAAATCTCTCCTACTGAACCTTATTTTGTCATCTGTGGGATGGAAATAATAATAGGGTCAACTTCATAGGCTGTGAGGGGTTGAGATGTAGGTGTATGGGTGCAGGGCTTGTCTTACAGAAAGCCTGTGGTGAAGGAGAAAGCCTATGTGAAGTTGAACTGGTCTAGTGAAGTCCAGCTTTGATTCCTGAGGCCCTAGGTTGTTTAGCATGATGTCTGGTCCAAGATGGGCTCAATAAATGGGGGCTATTGTTGCTGTCACCAGTTGTCACTTCACAGCCAGCTGCTCTGAAGCGATGGCTTTGAGCTGCCCTGCTTCTGTGGAAGGACAATCTTTCTCTTATCCTCAATCCTTGCCCCATCACAGAGGAATCAGTGGTTCTGAAGAGAAAGGAGTCAGCACATATCTCTAGGTGGAGAGACCCACCCTGCCTCTCCTATGGCCTGCAGGCTCTCCTGCCTCCCAATCCTTGTCCAGCATCGTGACCCCACTCCTCTGTCTTACAGGAGGAGTTTGGGGCCAGTGCAGCCCTGCTGTCCACTAAGGAAGCTCTGCTTATCTGGTGCCAGCGGAAGACAGCCAGCTACACCAACGTGAGCATCACTGACTTCTCCTGCAGCTGGAGAGATGGGCTTGCCTTCAATGCCCTCATTCATGCCCACAGGTGCTTGTGTGAGCACGTACACGTATGTGTATGTGTATGTGTATACATGAGTCTGTACCTGTATATGTGTGCATGTGTGTACGTGGGAGAAACTAGCACATTCCCAGCCCTGACCTGGCCTGAGGTAGGTCTCAGCCTTCTTTCTGGAGGGCTCCATCAACTGAGTCAACTGCTCCAAGAGCTTGGTTCCTTAGCGGTCTGTGTCCTCAACTTGCCTATTCTCCCACATCCCCTCTGAGCCCTGGACCCTAAAGGAAGGTGAGGCCAGAGTGGAGCACAGAATTAGAGAGGGCTGCTGTCTGAGTCCTTGGTCTATGATTAGCCTCCACCCCCACTAGGAATGCCATGGAATTGGCCAAGTCTGCCTTGGACCCTACCTTCTCCATTTTCTGTGGCCCTTGATTCTATTCACAGCTTTCTCCCTGCCAAATGCCCTGCTCTTTTGGAGCTTCCCCCTTGCCTACAGGCTCTGGCTTCTGAGCCCCTATCTCTCCAGCAGAATCTTATCCAACCTCCAGCCAAGTTCTCAGACAACTGTCAAGAGCACCTGATAGACTGATTCACACTAAGGTTATCCTAACAACAGGAAGGTGTTTGCATTTTAAAAAGGTTGGGTGAAACCAAAGCAATAAATTATCTTACAGGGTTGCTCTGTTTGTAAAACCCTGTCATGTGTGCATTATTTGAGTAAAAATACTGTACTATTATTATTGGTGAAGAACCCTTCCCATTCCTGCCCAGGCCAGACCTGATCGACTATAGCTCCCTGCACCCGCAGCACCCACTGCACAACCTCCACTTTGCTTTCCATGTGGCCGAGCAGAAGCTGGGCATTGCTCAGCTGCTGGACCCTGAGGACGTGGCGGCTCTACCACCTGACGAGCGCTCCATCATGACCTACGTCTCCCTCTACTACCACCACTTCTCCCGCCTGCACCATGGCCAGACTGTTCAGAGGAGACTCGCTAAGGTTGGTGACAAAGGGAGCATGAGCCTCAGGGAGTTGCAGCGGCATTGAAGTGAGGTGGGAGCCAACATGGGCCTAACTTTGCTGTGCTCCATTTGTAAAGTGGAGATGATAATGTCTGGATGATAGAAGGCTACTGGAGAGCTCAGGAGTCCCTGGGCAGTTAGCACTCAACTGCTAACTGAAAGATTGGCAGTTTGAGTCCATCCAAAGGTGCCCAAAAAAACAGCCATTGAAAACCCTATGGAGCACAGTTCCACACAGATGGGGTTGCCGTGATTTGGGGTCAACTCGACAGCGACTGGTTTGGTTTAGTGTGTGTTTGTGTGTGTGTATGTGTGTGTTCAAGGAACCGTAAGTAAGGTGCTCAGCAATTTACCTGGCCCACAAGGGAAGCAGTGCCTCCTCCTGCCCCTCCCCCACTGTTCTCAGGCTGTTAAGCTCCTAATGGGATTAAAAGGCTATAGAAGACCTAGGGTTTAGAGAGTCTGCAAGGACAGGATAGAAGAGGCTCCGCCAAGTGTGGCTACACCGAGTTCATGTTTTCAGGGGACTTTCTTACTCTCTGGATGCGATGGCAGAGCCTGAGGCCTGGGAGGGCTGTTCTCAGGGTTAGTGTCTCAGTTGGGGGCAGGCAGGTGATACAGGCCAAGGGCGCTGAGCTGTTTTAGGAGGATGGGGGCCTCCAGGGAAGGGAAAAGAGCCCATCTTGGGACACTCTGGATGGCATTCAGCATCCAAAGGCAAAGCCTTCATCCAGAGACTGACCCAGGTGACACTCTGACTCCATCCCATCCCCCACCCTACAGATCCTGCTTCAGCTTCAAGAGACAGAGGAGCTACAGAGCCAATATGAGCAGCTGGTGGCAGACCTGCTACGCTGGATTGGAGAGAAGCAGGTGCAGCTGGAGGCCCGGGACTTCCCAGATTCACTACCTGCCATGAACCAGCTACTGGTGGCCTTTGCCTCCTTCCGAACCCAGGAAAAGCCACCCCGGCTGCAGCAGCGAGGGGCTACGGAAGTCCTGCTCTTTCGGCTACAGACAAAGCTCCAAGCCCAGAACCGCAGGCCTTTCCTGCCTTGTGAGGGCCTAGGCCCTGCGGATCTGTCCCAGCGCTGGGCAGGGCTGGAGCGGGCAGAGGCCGCACGGAGCCAGGCTCTGCAGCAGCGGCTACTGCAGCTGGAGCGCCTGGAAACCCTGGCCCGGCGCTTCCAGCGAAAGGCGGCCCTCCGCGAGAGCTACCTGGTGGACATGGAACTTGTGCTCAACCAGGTGGGAGCCCCACTGGCCAGCCCAGCCATGGTGGAGGCAGCCTCCCAGAGGCTAGGCATGCTTGAAGCTGGCATCCTGCCCCAGGAGGGGCGCTTCCAGGCCCTAGCTGAGATTGCAGACATCCTGCAGCAGGAGAAGTACCACGGCTGGGCAGATGTGGCCTACAGGTGAGCCCCGGGCACACGAACCATCCTCACTACAGGCTGAGGTTTTCCTATCACTTCCCTATCCCTGTACATGCTGACTCCTGGCCACAGAGGAAAGGGGTGATCTATGAATTCAGCATTCCCTTTAAAGAGACCTCTCTTCCACGAAGTCTGAAATCCCACCATCCATAATTCATCCTTTTTGATAAAGCATTGTCCTTCCCAGGAAACCTCTTATTAATTCATTCATTGAACAAGTATTTATTGTCTACTATGTCCCATAGGGGGAGCTCTGGTAGCATAGTGGCTAAAGCACTTGACTGCTAACCAGAAGGCTGGCGGTTCAAACCCACCAGCTACTCCTCAGAAGGAAGGTTGGGCAATCCTACTTCCGGAGTGAACACTGCCTCGGAAACCCAAGGAGGGGTCGCTATGAGTCGGGGCCGACTCGACGGCACATAACAACAACATGTCCCATAGGGGGAGGTCCGGTGGTATAGTGCCTAAGGCATTTGACTGCTAACCAGAAGGTTGGCGGTTCAAACCCACCAGCCACTCCTCAGAAGGAAGGTTGGGCAATCCTACTTCTGTAGTGATACTGCCTCGGAAGCCCAAGGAGGGGTCGCTATGAGTCGGGTCTGACTCCACGGCAGTTGAGTTTAGTTTGGTTTTTGTATGTCCCAAAGGAATCACTGGTTAAGCACCTGGCTATTAACCAAAAGGCTGGTAGTTCAAATCCACTCAGAAAAAAGTTCTGCTGATCTGCTTTCAAAAGATCACAGTCATTGAAAACTATGTAGCACACCTCTACTCTGCAATACACAGTGTTGTCACGAATAGGAATGGTATTGGGTTTGGTTTTCTCACCATGTCCTAAACATTGTTCTAGGCTCTTGGAATTTAGCAACGAATAGGACAAACCAAAAGCCCTGCCCTGTGGAGCTTACACACTACTAAAGAAAACAGACAAATAAGAAAAATGTACAATATGTGAAATAGATCTAAAAGAAAAACAAGAAACATAAATCAAGAGAAGGTGATAAGAGATATCAAGATAAGAGGTTAGAAGATATAAAACATTAGTTTGGGTGGCCAGGAGGCTTTACAGGGAATTTGACTTTTGAGCAAAGACCACAAAGAAAGGGATGGCCATGCAGAAACAAGGGAAAGGACTAGTCTAGGCAGAAGGAATGGCAAGAACAGAGTCTCAGGACAGTGCATGCCTGACATGTTGGAATGATAGCATGGAGGCGGGTGGCAGCAGGAGACTGGAGTCAGGGAGGTGCTGGGCTGAGGAGTGGGCAGAGATCATGGGGGACTGAAGAGCAGTGAAGACAGGTTTTACCCAGAGAAGGATGGGAACTCCTTGAAGGATCTGAGCACAAGAGTGACACAACCTAAACTTTTGTTTTAAAATGATCACTCTTCAAAATATCCAGGACATACTTGAAAGATAATGCCAATAGGAATTTCAGACAGATCAGATGTAGGCTCTGGATAAATGAAGAATCAAGGTTTTAGCCAGGGCACTTGGAAGGATGGAGTTGCCATCAAGTGAGACAGGGACAGCAAAGGAGAATAGAGAAGCCCTGAAGGACTGAGCCTTCCAGGCCCTCCTTCTGGCTTCTCTGTCTGTCCAAAAACAGGGCACACTATCCCATCTGCCTCTTGTCATGGTGCTGCCAATCGACCATGTCCCAGCCACAGAGCTCAGGCTCCTCCACTGCCTGGGGACCCCAAGGTAGCTTTCCTTCCCCAGCACTGTGGAGACCACCCTTATTCTTACATCCTCCAGGCAGATGGAGGTCACCCGACGCTGGGAGAGGCTCCTTCAGCATCTCCAAGAGAAGAGGAAGCAGATGGCAAGCAGCCAGGCGGTGCAAAGCCTGCTGCAGGAGGTCCAGGCTGCCTCTGACCAGCTCAAGGAGCTGCAGGTGGGTCCTGGACTAGCAGGCCCCTGGGAATATAGCCAAGTGCAGGAACTTCCTCAGCACCAGGGGTCAGGGGGACCCAGCCCCTTGGGTCTGGAATGACCACTCACTTCTGCCCAGGTGCCAGCCAGCTCCACAGCCTGTGGTCAGCAGCTGGCAGAAGTAGTAGAGCTGCTGCAGAGGCATGAGCTGTTGGAGGTCCAGGTCTCTGCCCAGGGAGCCCATGTGAGCCACCTCACCCACCAGACCATGGAGCTGGACTCCTCCAAAGGCACCAGTGTGAAGGTGCTGCAGGCCAAGGCCCAGGAGCTGGTCGAGCTCCACCAGGGCCTGGTGTCTCTAGTCAGAGCCCGGTAAGAGCCTGCTCCAGCTCCTCTACATTCTCCAGAACTTCTCTGTAACCCAAATCCCGGCCTGCCCCAGCTTAAAATACTGCTGTCCTAGCAACTTCCTATACATGTACTCCTACCCCCAAGGCGTCTGTCTCACCTCTTGAGTAGTCCAAGACAAAGAAAAATCCTGTCTAAGAGGGCGGGTCTGTCTACTGGTGGGGAACCCCCTCCCCTTGACCTGCGGACTCAGCAAGCCCCTTGGTGGCGGTGGCGCTTCCCATCCCTTAGGCGCACTCTGCTGGAGCAGGCCCTGCAGCGGGCAAAGTTCTTGCACAGCTGTGAGGAGGAGGAAGCATGGCTGAGGGAACGCAGACAGCTGGTGGAGAATGTGGCCCTGGGTCGGAATCTCAGGCAGCTCTCAGCCGCCCTGCAGAAGCACAAGGTGTCGGCCACCTCTGGTCCTGTCGGTCCCTGCCTCCCCACCAGCCCCTCCTAGGGCCCCGGCCCCTCCCCTTTTCCTGCCCCTCACCAGGTGCCTTGCACTCTCTTCCAATAGGCCCTGGAGACTGAGATCTGCAACCACCAGGTCTTGTGCGCGGATCTAGCACAGAGGGGGCGTGGCCTCGGCGTCGGGGGATCCCCGACGCAGCGGGATCCTTGGGAGCGGGCTCAGGCAGTGCTGGGAGCGTGTCAGCTGCTCCAGATGCGGGCGGCAGGGCTGGGCGCACGGCTCCAGGCAGCCCTGTCTGTCCAGCAGGTACAGCGGTGGGCGGGGCGGAACGGGGCCAGCAGGACATTCGGGGCCGGTGCTCCTAGCCCCGCACACCCTCATCCACACAGCCTTCTACTCCGCAGTATTTCGCTGACGCAGAGGATGCGGCCTTGTGGCTTCGCGAGCGGCGATCCTTACTGGACAGCGCGTCTTGTGGATCGGACCAGGCCGGCGCCGAGGCACTGATGATGCGCCACCTGCAGCTGGAGCGTGCCGTGCGCGCCTTCGCGGCAGAGCTGCGGCGGCTGGACCAACAGGCGCAGACAGCCGCAGCGCGGCTGTCGCTCACCATGCGGGTGGGGACCGAGCACCGGGCGGGGCTGGCAGAGACAGGGAAGGGGCCCAGACTCACAGGCCTCGGGGACTAAATGTTTGCAGCCAGGTGCTGGCGCTGTGCCCTTCCTCCCATGCTCTGTCGTCAGTGGGCCTCACAGAGGTTGAATATAAGAGGACAGTCCCCTGACCCAGGGGCAGAGGTGTATCTAAGGTATGGCAAGCGTGGCACTTGCCCTGGGCGCCACTTAGGGGTGGTGGTGGCCAATGAGTAGTTTCTATTCACCATCGTTTTTCCATTGCCAGCTGTGAGAGACCAATTAACACTTAAAACCAATTGCCATAGGCGCTATTTTTCTGTAGATGCACCTCTGCTCAGGGTTTTGGTCTCACTTGGGTTTGCGTGTGCCCTCCCTCCACCATCAGCAGTACCTCACAGGCTGACCTAGCCCAGAGTTAGGAGGAGCCCTGTCTGCCCAGGCATATTGAAGTCATCACAAGTTCAGCACGGCTGCTCACTTTGCCCAGTGGTTTCCAAGCATTAATGATCTTCCTCCAGGAATGTTCCCTTTGTTTTCATTGCCTTGCCTAAGGTGTCCTTAAGCCTATTTCCACTTGGACATTCTGGAATGTTTGGCTCGCTCTCCTGACTTGGCTCCTGTGCGTTTTGGAGGCCCTAATCACTAACCTGTGCTTGTTCAGTGGTGGAATTCTCCCCTTTCATGCAGGAGCCTAGGTTTGATTCCTGGCCAATGCACCTCTTGCTCAGCCACCACCTATCTATTAGTGGAGGCTCACACGTTGCTATCATGCCGAACAGGTCACAGTGGAGCTTCCAGACTTAGACTAGGAAGAAAGGCCTGGTGAAAACTAAGCCAGTGAAAACCGTGTGGATCACAACCATTCAATCCCATTGAGCCTGGGTCACCATGAGTCAGGAGCTCACGACAACACTGTGTGCATGGGGTCACCCTAGGTCAGGGGCCGTCTTGAGCAGCTGACAATATTAACCAAGAAGTCTCTGGGTGACGTGAACAGTTAACACACTCCACTGCTAACGAAGGTTCAAGTTTACCCAGAGGTGCCTCAGAAGAAAGCCCTGGCAATCAGCTTCTGAAAAACCAGCCATTGGAAACCCTGTGGAGCACTGTTCTACTCTGACACAAATAGAGTTGCTATGAGTCAGAATCAACACAACAGGAACTGGTGGTTTAAACACTAACCAGATTGCTTTCTGAAACCCTTCCCTCAGTTCATTGGGCACCCAGGTTCTTAAAAATACATGTGTGGCCATGGCAATTTGGGCCGGCCAGTATATGATTCACACCCCCTTTCAGGAAGTCATATAGCTCATGAAATATGCCCCTTAGATTCTGGCCTCACATTTGAGTACTCTTTCCCCACTCCCAAGGAAGCTCAGCCTTCAATCTAAAATCTCTGCTTGGCCCACCAGCATGCTTCTTTCTGCCCGGGCACCTCTCCTCCACCCCTTCTCTCTGCCCCATCCGCCGTTTGAGCTGCAGCTCAGATCCTCTGTATCTCAGGAGGTACCTAACAGAGGAGTCAGTTGCTGGAGATAGGATCCCTGGGTCTGGTCCGAGCCTGCACTGACATGTCATGTGGCAGCTCACATGAGGTTTGAAAGGTTCATACTTTTACAAGTTTTAGCCTAGATTAATCTCTCCATTTTCCTTTGCATTTATTCCCTGAACTACATAATTAATGATTTTTAAAATCCAATCCATAGTATGTTAACTTAACGAATGAAGGAAGTAACCAAGGCTCAAAGAGAAAAAAGAAAAATTGCCATCAAGTCTATTCCACCTCATAGAGCCAATGCTCAGGCCAAATTACTGCCTAAAGAGGTGCTGTTATCCCTGCTGGAGAAGCCTCTTGACTCTGGGCCCAGAGCTGTTTCTACCCCATCCCACCCTGTATGTCTATGATGTTTATCTCCAAGCACTGACATTATAGTAACACATTGTGCTTTTATCATAAACTCACTGCTGTCGAGTCAGATCTGACTCATAGCGACCCCTCCTTGGGTTTCTGAGAAAGTATCATTACGGAAGTAGATTGTCCAATCTTCCTTCCAAGGAGTGTCCAGTGGGTTTCAACCACCAGCCTTCTGATTAGCAGTCAGATGCCTTAGGCTATACGCCATATTATCTTCTTTGTATGCATGTTTGCTCTGCTTTTTCAGCTTTAATTAATTTTAAATGGGTGGATGGGAGATGTCTTATTTATTTATTTTTTTGTGTGTGTGCCCTCTACTACTTAGCCAGTGCTAGCATTGATGGGGTGGTTGGGGCTGGCTCCCAGCGTTTCCGGGCCCTTGCTTTGCCCAGTAATTCTGGGTGGAGGTGGCTCTTTGCTGGGGGGATAGGGGGAGCCACTTTGACAGCTAAGTAAAGACTTCTCCATTTCCTCCAAACAGGGGGAGACCCCAGAAGGCTGGAATAAGCTTGATGGGAGCACAACTGGGAAACTGCAAGATGGAACCCAAATCTTGACAGCACCAGGTAGCCAGCACCTGTGGCCCCAGGTCCAGGCACACTTCACCTACAGAGGTACAGGAGCTGGAACATAGTTCCCAAGTGGCCTTATACCTCCCTTTCTGTAGGGGGACAGTGATTGTGGCCTCCAGGATGTGCCTGGTAACCTGTGAAGAACTCATGTCAGAGTTTCAACAATATGTCATGAGTGACAGGTTAAACTTAATCTGTGTTGCTCTATATGGCATCCAAGGACTGAAAGAACGACTCTCAGGAGAGGCCAAGTGGAGCTCAGGGGGAGGAGGGGCTTGGAGCTGCCCATAGATAGACTGGGTTGAGAGGGAGTGGTGGTTTCCCGTCACTAGGCAACAACAGGCTGTCACGGGAGGAGGTGGTTCCACAGGAGACAAAGGGCCGATGAGATGGTCAAATAGGGCAGGACTCTTCCAACCCATAATTCTCTGAGTCTTCCTTTTCCTGCTTCCTGCTTCACTTCGTTTCCTTCCCCTTTCCAGTCTTTCCCTGTGCCTTTTACTTTTCTCCTCTGAAGTCCCTGGGTAGCACAAGCAGTTAAGTGCTTGATTACTAGCTATAAAGGTTGGCAGTTCAAATCTACCCAGAGGTGCCTTGGAAAACAGGCCTGGTAATCTGCTTGCAAAAGGTCCCAGCTTTGAAAACCCAAAGGAGCAGTTCTAGTCTGCACACATGAAGTCACCATGATTCAGAGTTGACTCAACTGCAACTAACAACAATTTCCTTCTCTAGGAGCTCTGGTAGCATAGTGGCTAAATCACTTGACTGCTAACCAGAAGGCTGGCGGTTCAAACCCACCAGCCACTCCTCGGAAGGAAGGTTGGGCAATCCTACTTCCGTAGTGATACTGCCTCGGAAACCCAAGGAGGGGTCGCTATGAGTCGGGGCTGACTCGATGGCACACAACAACAACAACAACATGATCCCTTAGGGAGCTCTGGTAGCATAGTGCCTAAGGCATTTGACTGCTAACTAGAAGACTGGCAGTTCAAACCCACCAACCACTCCTTGGAAGGAAGGTTGGGCAATCTACTTCTGTAGTGATACCTCTTTGGAAACCCAAAGAGGGGTGGCTATGAGTCAGGTCCAACTCATAGCACATAACAACAATGTTACCCCAGAAGTTGTTGTATGATGCTTGCCTGGGGGCAGAGGCACAAAGTGAGGGAAGAACACCAGCCTGTGCTTTCCCAGTGCCAGTACTGCATGGTGCATTGAAGTCCTGCCTTGTCTTTAAAACTTTCCCACTGCCCCGGGCTATTTTGGCCTTTTCCCTCGGACACCCACTCATAGTATTTATTCAGACCATGCACATTCTGCTTGGACATTCCTGGGTCATGTCCTAATTGCTCTGGGTCTGTGAGCCTTATGAAATCTCACTTCCATCCAGTCTATTCCAACTTATACTGACCCATAGAGTTTTTAAGACTGTAAATCTTTATGGAAGTAGATTGCATAATCTTCCTCCCTCAGAGCAGCTGATGGGTTTGAACCACCGACCTTCTGGTTAGCAGCCAAATGCCTTAACCACTGTGCCACCAAAGCTCCTGTGAGCCTTATAGTCCTGAGGAATCGTAAGGCCCTGGGTGGGACGGTCCTGCAGAGGCATATCTAAGGTATGGCAGGTATGGCACATGCCCTAGACGCCACTTGAAGGGGCACCACTGAGTAGTTTCTATTAACCACTGCAGTTTTCGTCACCAGCTATGAGAGATCATTCAGCAAGTTAAAACTAATACTTCATATTTGAGAGCCTCCATGGGTCAAGGTTAGCCCTAGTGGTGCAGTGGTTCAGCTTGTGGCTACTAACCAGATGGTCAGCAGTTTGAACCCACCAGCCACTCCACAAGAAAAAGACATGACAGTTAGCTTTCTGCAATCCAAAGATTACAGCCTAGGAAACCCTATGGGGCAGATCTACTCTGTCCCTACAGGGTAACAATGAATTGAAATTGACTCTCAGGCAACTAGTTTGATTTAGTTTTTGGATGGGTCAAGGAAAACTATGAGATCTTGCTCTGCTGAGTGTAGAATGAGAAGAAACTGGGGGAATAAATGACTTTGAGCACATCATAAACCAAAACCTACTGTCATCAAATTGATTCTGACTCATAGTAACCCTATAGGACAGGATAACTCAAAAAAAAAAAACCAAACTCACTGCCACCGAGTCAATTATGATTCAGAGGGATCCCTCCTTGGGTTTCTGAGGCAGTATCTCTACAGAAATAGATTGCCCAGTCTTCCTTCCAAGGAGTGGCTGGTGGGCTTGAACTGCCAGCCTTCTGGTTAGCAGTCAAGTGCTCTAGGCACTACGCCACCAAAACTCCCATAGAACAGGATAATGCTGCTCAAAAGGGTTTCCAAGGCTGTAAAGCTTTACAGAAATACATCGTTCTCCTGTAGGGCAGCTGGTGGGTTTGAACGATCGACCTATTGGTTAGCAGCTGAATGCTTTAACCACTGTCCCACCAGAATCTTTGAGCACATCATATACCAATTTTAATCAGTGAAAGCAAAAAAAATGCTGTAGTACCATAATGTATTGAATTAATTAATTAATTAAGATTAATGAGCTTATGTTATGATAAAATGATTGAAAAGATGGGCATCAGATGTTTGGACAGGGGTGGACTTTCATTGATTGCCATAAGCCCTGTTTTCTCTAGATACACCTCTGAGATCCTGGCCACAAGGCTCCTCTCACAAGGCTGTGCCAGGGAACATTAAGTAATAAATCATCCCCACCCTCCACTGGAAAGCTGCTGGGTGGAGAATAGGGTAAGACCTGAGCAGCCCTCAGAACCTGTACCCACAGGGACACACTTCATCTGGCTCGTAGGAGAGGCTGTGGAGCAGGTGCTCCAATCGGGCACTGATACCTGTGAGCTGAAGGACCAGGAAGCCTTCCATGCCAAGTTGGCCCTCAGCTATGGTATGGAGCAGGAGCCCCAGGTACAACCACTGGTCCCACCCTGCCATGGCTTCTGTTTCTTGGGATGGTGGATGCCCCTTCTGGACATGCTGCCCTTTGTCTGCATAGGTGGTATCTGCCCTGAGCCCTCTAGGGGAGGGCCCGAGGAACCGAAAGGCCTGGAGCATATCTGACCCTGACTTTGACCCCAACACCATTCTCCAGACACAGGACCGCTTGAGGCAGGACTATGAAGGCCTGCGAGTCCTGGCAGAGGTAATGCCCCTTCTTCAAGAAGTGTTCCTTGAGCGCTTGCTCTGTGCTGGACTCTGTGAGGTGAGCACAAGGGGCAGAGGCATGACTGGACACGCTCCCAGCCCTTAAGGAGCTTACATCATGGCAGTGAGGCTGTCAGACCAGTCATTAGGTGGATGTGGGCATATGGGTCAGCCTGGGGGCCAGGGAAGGCATCTCGGAGAGAAGAATATTTAAGCTGAGACTTGAATAGCAAGAAGCAGAGGTCAGGTGAGGCCAAGAGGAATGCAGGGAAGGTGGCCAAGAGATGGCGTTTCAGGACCTGTGCAAAGGCAGGAAGGAGGTCCAGCAGAGGAAGTGAAGGCCGGAGTGCCTAGAGCACCGAGGCTGGAGGCAGTGGCTGGAGGAGAGTCCGGGATCCCGTTAGGCAGTCAAGCCCCGCAAGAGAAGTGTGGATTTTACCTCAGAGCAGTGGCCAATACTGAAAGTTTTGAGCAGAACAGGATGGAGTGAGAGCAGCTCCCTCCCCAGGAAGACCTCTGACAGGGTGCAGGTTCAGTGGAGGGGCAGGGCCCCCCTGTAGTGCTGGCCCAGGCTCTGCTGGTTGGGTCAGCCATCCATCTGCTCTGGGAGGCACCTGCCCTAACCCTGCCTCTGGGCTGCCTCTCTTCAGCACCGCAGGGCCCGGCTGGAGGAGATGGTGGCCCTGTTTGGCTTCTCCAGCTCCTGTGGAGAGTTCCTGTCCTGGCTGGAGGACCAGACAGCACTGTTTCAAATGCTGCAGCCCCAGGCTGACAACTTGGTGGTTATGCAGTTCAAATATGAGGTATAGCTCCCTCAGAACTCAGGAGAGTCTTGGGCACTTGGCCGTTCTCCACCTCCTGACTCCTGTCCCTCTCCCCCTCTCCTGCCTCCCTTTTATTCACTCCTGTGCCTCAGTTCTCCATGCGAACTCAGGTCTTGTCTGAGGAAGAGGGGCAGGGAAGTTGGTATTGAATTTTAGGCCTTGGATTTCTGTCCTTCCAGAAGGACACAGCTTGAGCCTCTCTGTAAGAGAGAGCATGGCAGAGGTCAGTTGTAGACTACAGGGGAGTATGGGGAAAGAGCAACCCCTCAGAGACCAGGGTCCTCCTTTTCCCCAGAACTTCCTCGCCACCCTGGCTGTGGGAAAGGGCCGCTGGGCTGAGGTCAACAGCTCTGCTGAGCAACTGAAGCAGAGATATCCTGGGGACTCCACACAGATCCAACAACAGCAGGAAGAATTGAGCCGGAGGTGAGATTGAGAAGGTAGTGTCCGGTAATGGGGACAGGTGGACGCCAGGCCTGCGTGCCTGCGCACCTGAGTCTGCCCCCACGATGCCCAGAGGAAGGGCTAGCGTGCCAGAGATAGGGAGGAGAGGGCCTGGGAATGGCCAGCCTGACAGATTCTGCTATGTAGCCAAGGCCCTGGATGGATGGGAGTCTTCCTTGTAATGGAGACATGCCCTGTGCTGTTTGCCTAGGTGGAGACAGCTGGAGGCCCTGACAAAGGAGAAGGAGATGGAGCTGGCAGGCATCATGGATGTGTGCAGTTTTCTGCAGGAATATGACTCCACCCAGGTCCAGCTACAGGACATGATAGTCCGGCTGGAAGCCCTAGAGCCAGGGGGCTCAGAAGGCAGCCCCCGCATCCTACAGCTGACCCAGCAGAAGATGCACATGCTGGAAGAGAGGATCCACTGCCTCCAAAGTGTGGCCCTAAAGTATGAGTTCGGCACAGTGGTGGTACACTGGGAGACAGTGAAGGCAGAGACCAGGGTTATGGAATGGGGAAGGGGAAAAATTAGGGTAGGGGAGGACAGGGAGGTTGTGCTGTGAAAAGGGCTGGGGCAAAGCTGGGCAGAACAGTCAGGATGAGAAAATGTTCAGGGTGAAAGGAAGACTCACATGTTCCTGCTGCCCACAGGTTGAGGAGGGTGAATGAGGAGGTGGGAGCTTAGAGTTGCCACCACTTTTCCCTGGGGCACTTGAGCATGGGCAGAAGAGTGATGCCTGGAACACCAGGCTCAGGGCAGGCTGGGCACTGATATGCAGTGGGCCCTGTCTCCCAGGGTAGAGGAGGCAGGCCCCACACAGAGGCAGCCCCTGCGAGAACAAGTGGAAACAATGCAGGAGTTGCTGAAGCAAGTACAGAGGCAGGTGGCCCTTCAGACTCAGGCCCAGACCGAGGCTCAGGCCCGCGACAGCTTCCTGCAAGAGAGCCAGCAACTGCTGCTATGGGCAGAGGGTGTCTGGGCTCAGCTGCACAGCAAGGAGGAGGTGATGGACGTGGCCTTGGCACAGCAGCTGCTGACCGAACACCAACATCTGCTGGCGGAGATCTGCCTGAGGCAGGAGAGGTCAGGACAGGAGGGACAGGGTGTGCTTCGGGCTAGCAATGGGTCCACAGAGGGAGTGGCAGGAAACAGTGTGGCCACCCAGGGGAAAGGCCCAGGCTGATGTCCTGCATGATGCTTGGAGCACATTTACAAGGAGGCATGATGTAACCTAGAACTGGGTTGGGAATTCTGCATTCTTCAGAAAGGGATCCAGGGCTTAGTCTGAGTAAGTAAGCTTCCTGGGATCTCCATCCTGGGCCTGTCCAGATTCAATTTAAATGAGTCTGTAGTTTGCATTCAGTCAGGGCAGCCTAGCCTCCTGGGCCACTCTGGGTGACCAAGACTCTACTGGGCCTTGGACTCACCCTGAGTACTCAGATGCACACCTCCGTCGGCCAGCAAGGCACTGCGTGCAGCCTGCAGGCTGTGTCCAGCATGGGGGAGCCTAATTGGTGGTCCAGTGAACACTGAAAATCATCCCATCCTCTACTTGTCACGCCCTACCTCTCAGGTCAGGGCTGCCTCAGCCCAGGGCAAAAGCCCAGAGCAAGTAAAGCTTTTTTCTAATTCACACCAGCTGTTCCCAAGCTAGATGCCTGCAGGCTGTGCCCTACCTGGCTGAAAGGCTCCATCTGGGCTAGCAATGGTCCTGCAGGCAGGACTGTGGTCTAAGTGATTTTTCACTTACTGGGTTGTGCTGGCCCGGCCATGGCCACTTACTGCGACGTTGGCCACTAGCAGTCCACATTTGCAGGACAGCCAGTTGGAGCAGGGGCTATGACATGCAGGGAGCCTGGGAACTATTGTGCACCTAAGTCCTAAGCTTGGTGCTGGACCTGTTAGACTCAGTGCCTCCTTAGTGGGCTAGGCAGAGTTGTCCCACCAGATGAGCAAACCAGCTGGGCTAGCTAGTCTCAGCTCCCTCCTGCCAGTACGCTCTCATCAGAGCTCCAAGATGAAGGAAGCATGGAGGCAGGGGGAGGGAGGTTGGCGAGTAGGGCTAGAGGGCTTTGACTTTCTATCTGTCATCCTGGACAGGCTGCAGCAACTGGAGGCTCAGGGCCAGCACATGACCGCTTTGGACTCCCTGGGCTCCCAAGAGGTGGCCAGTGTTCTGAGGCTCCTGGGCCAAAAAGGCAGGGAGCTGAGGGCTGCCTGGGAGCAGCGACAGCAATGGCTGCAGGAGGAGCTGGAGCTGCATAGGTTTGGCCGAGAAGCAGATGGTTTCACTGCCACCTGTGCCAAACATGAGGCCTTCCTGCGTCTGGACCACCTTGGGGTAAGGAGCCAAGGATGGGAGCTGGGGTGCTGCTCCCCTAACACTGGAGGGAGCTCATCTCCTGAGGCCCAGAAGTCAGGCTGGGCAAGAGGCCCCTGGTGCCAACCCCCATCCTCCCAGGTATGACCCCAAGTCTCTGTACCCCCAGGAGACTGTAGGAGAGGCCCAGAGCTTGCTGCAGCGACATCAGGAGTTTGAGTGGCTCCTGGGCACCCTGGGCCCTCGGGCAGAGGCTCTGCAGGCACATGGCAAGAAGCTGGTTCAGAGCCAGCACTCCGCAGCAGACATGTGAGTCGGCCTCAGTCTGGGCAGCACCTGCCTCCCTTTTTTTGTTTGTCTGCACGGGCTGTTCCCCTGAGGCTGGTGGGAGCCCCTCTGACCCAGGAATATGGGTGGACAGAGTAGTTGCAGTAGGCATACTCTGGGCTAGGTAGTCTCAACTTTTGAGGTGGGCCTCAGGCAGAGTGGAGCCCTCACTCACACCCACACCTGCTCCTGCTTCCAGGGTCAGAGAGTGGCTGCAGAGTGTCCAGGCACAATGGACCAGGGTCCAGGAGAGGTGTAAGCAGAGGAGGAGCCAGCTGCTGGCTTCCATCCACTTCCAGGTAAGAGGCCTGGCCCAGGGTGCATGAGGCCTCCCAAAATGAATGCCTCAGATGCCACTTCTACACTAACTGCAGTGAAACTACATGGGACTTTTTTCACATATTATGTCATCCATCACCAGAACACCTTATGAAGCAGGCATTATGGCCTTGAATTTTCAAGGTGAGGGAAACTAAGGCCATGGGCAGGCACTCTACTGTCAGAGCCAGAGCTGGAGCTAAAGTCCAGACCTCATACTCTCCCTCGTCAAGTTATTCCCTTACCTCCATTGTTTCTGGATGCTCTTTAGACTCTAGCATGTGTTATGGGCACCAGCTACAGAGTTTGGCTCTGTCAGATGTTTGTTCAGCCCATTATAGATGCTCAGAGCTGGGCAGCCCAGAGGCTCACACAACATGAGCCCGTATGGAGCAATATGTCAAATATCAGACCAGACATGGCTGGAGTAGTAGGGTCCAACCTGGTGCTCCTCTTGTCTGGCACAGTGAGGCCCTGACCCTGACTCCTGGGACCTCCTTCTACTCTTTTCCCTGAGATATTTTCCTTCCTGACCTCAGTTTGCTCTTCCTCATCTGGGGAGAGAACTTCAGGCCCTACCTCTTGTGAGCCCCAAGATTGGTGCTAAGCCTAGCTCTTCCCATGGGTGTCTCAGAGACCCTTTTACCTAAAGCTCCTTGGACCGTCCTCGCTCTCAGGCTGTGAGGCCCACTCTCTCCCATTCTTGGGCAGGAATGGAAGCAGGATGTGGCAGAGCTGATGCTATGGATAGAGGAGAAAGAGCTGCTTGCAGCAGATGAGCCCTCCCGAGAACCCAGAAACATTTTGCGGAAACTTAGAAGGCACGAAGCAGCTGAGAGTGAGCTGCAAGTTACCCACAGACATGTGGAGGACTTACAACAGGTGGGAACACTGGAAAGAGGGTTCAGGGCCTACTTATCATCAAATTCCCAACCAAACTGCACTGCACTGAACTCCACACTCAACTGAAGAACAAATTACCCTCAGTTACTATGAAGTTAGGATCCTCCAGCTACCTCATTCACTCAGCTGGGCATGCCCTTGCCTTGGCACCCAAACCAGCCTGAAAGCTGGTATATAATCCTTTCCCCCAAATTCTCCAGGGAAAAGTTCAGAGCCTGTCACCTCCACCAGAGAAAAGCCCTTCTCAACCACCAACCTGCTTGCCCTTCTCTACTTGTAGGGCTCAAAAGAAAGCCCTCTGCCTCTGCCCACAGATTTGAGGCCATGTTGAACTGCTTGAGCCCAGCAGTGCAGCTTACAGCCAGCTACCCCCACCTCTGCCACCTGGTCCCAGCCTGCTGTGGTCACTCATGGCACCAGCACCTCAGCAACCCTCCCTGGGGCTTTGTCTCCACTGCAGGTTGGGAGAGAGCTGTTGAACAGTGGGCCTCATGCCCAGGAGGACGTGCAAGCCAGGCTTCAAGGCCTGAGTTCCAAGTGGGAGGAGTTGAACCTCAAGATGGCAGAGCGTAGGGACAAGCTCCGACAGGCCAGACAGCAGGAGCAGCTCCTGGAGCTGCTGCAGGTCAGCTGAGGGAGTGAAGGGCAAAGGAGGGTGACTGAAGCTGGGCTGGGGCCCAGGAAGAGGAAGGGGAGGAGAGGAGTCTGGGTGGTTGGCTAACTCAGGAGGGGCCCTATGAAGTCCTACAGTGCTTGGAGGTCTCTGGCTTGCAGCAAGATAAGCATGGCTTTACCCATCAGTAGACAGTGCAGGACTGTCTCCCATGTGCCCAGGGCATGGTCTGCACAACTTGAGTTCCACTGGGGAGGAAGGAGCATGAGGAGACAGGGATGTTCATGAGTCTCTGTGAAGAGGTTTGGGCACCACTGGCCACAGGTTGACAATGCAGGGACAGAGGTCTCCAATAGGTGAATATGCTTATGGCACCAAAGACTCAGAAACTGTGGCCTCTGGCCAAGTGGATAAGCACAGCCCAAGAAGGACCACCTACTGTCCTCTATACCAAGAGCTTCATGCAGCCTCCTATGTCCCTCCCCAGGAGGCCAAAGAGAAGATGGAGCAATTAGAGAGGACCTTGCAGAGTGCAGGAGTAGGGCAGGACCTGTGCTCAAGCCTAGAACTGCAGAAACAGCACCACCAACTGGAGGATGAGAGCCAGGCTCTGGCCAGCAAGATGGCTACCCTCGTCTCCCAGGCCCACTGTGTACTCAATTCCCAGAGCTTCCTGGAGGAGACCCAGAAGTACCTCCAGAGGTGGGCCTGCCCCTCCACTGGCCTATTTGCCCCATCTTCACCCTGCTCTATGTCTCTTGCCCCCACGTGAACTTGAGGGCAGTTTGGCCCAGTGAGCAAAGAAGGGGGCACCTATAGGACCTGAGGTTGCCCAACTTCCTTCCTTTATGAGTGAAGTCATTCCTCGGGTAGGAGGGTCAGAAACCCCAATTAGGTCTCCTAAGTAGAGCTCCCTGCAATCTGAAGTCAGGAAGGTAATCTGGACAGTGAGGTAGTGACCTAGACTCTCCAGCTGCCTTCTGATCATCAGATGAGGCTTTTCCTCAGTTCTCCTGCCTTGTTCCTCATGGGTCCCTAGTGGGTAAGGAAAGCACTGATAGCCTGGTCCTCATCCAGTTCGTAAGCTCTACCATCTTGTGTCCACCCACCCAGGCTCAAGTCCCTGCAAGGACAGCTGGCCACTTGGCACCTGCAGCTACAGGCCTCAGTTAAGCTGCATCAGTTCTACCACCTGAACAACTTGGAGCTCACCTGGGTGGCTGAGCACATGCCCAGTCTCAGTTCCACCAGCTACACCAAGTGCTTGGATGATGCCCAGTGCCTTAACCACAAGTACAAGGTAACAGACCCCTCTTTTTCCCAAGATCTCTGACATTCCATTCTCTCTGCCTCCTCTCAGGGTACCCTGGCCTCTAAGCCTTTTTTTCTGGTTGTCCTGATTTCCAAGCCTCTGCCCCCAGCTACTCCAGGCCTCAAGTTTTGCCATGATTGGAATCCAGTAGAATACCTCCTTTTCTTTCCCTTCCTTGACCCAGTTTACCCACTATTCACCCTTCCCCAATATATAATGAGCTGTCTGAGGGCACAGTCTGTGTCTTCACTTTTCTGGGGGCAGTAAATGTTCCATCATTACTGGATATTGGATGAATGGATGGATGGTATCAGTGGGTAGATGGATGGATGGGTGGGTGGTTAGATGGATCAATGAATTGATGGGTGGATCAATGGGTGGATGGATGATGAGTATATGAATAGGTAGATAAGTGAGTGGGGGAGGTGAATGGATGACTGAGTAGATGAATGGGTGGATGGATGATGGATGAATGTATGTGTGAGATGAATGGGTGAAAGGTGCTACCAAGGGCATCCTAAAGGCTGCAGTTTCTCACTCTGCTCTATGTCAGGCACTCCAGGCTGCAGTGAAAGCACACGAGGGACAGGTGCAGAGGGTGCTAGGCTCTGGACAAAGCCTCGCAGCCTCAGGGCACCCCCATGCCCAACACATCAAAGAGCAATGCCAGAGGCTGGAAGGGTGTTGGGCAGAGCTGGAGCAGGCATGTGCAGCATGGTCCCAGTGCCTACAGCAAGCTGCTGCTTCCCATCAGGTAAGCTGAAGAGAGCAAGGGGCCAGGGGATGTGGCAAATGTCAGGGCAGGCTTTGTAGGTGAGGGGTCTGTGGAACCTGAGACTCTCAGAGAAGTGGGTCAGTGATATGAACTCAGGGCCAGGAGCTAGTTGGCCCCCATTTGTGCTGACTGCTGAAAAACAGTGGCATCATGTCCCCAGAGTGTGATGAGGAGGTCCTGTCTGAGATCACCAAGGTGACTTGGAACCATTCTTGGCAGTATTTTCTGGATGTATCAGAGCTGGAGGGCTGGGTGGAGGAGAAGCGGCCACTGGTGAGCAGTCAGGATTATGGTGGAGATGAGGCCACTACCTTCATTCTCATCAAGAAGCACCAGGTACCACACCCTGAGCCTTCCCCACACTATCTTGACTTGAATGACCAGGAGCCACTCACGTTCCCAAGGAGACACAGAGCCCTGCTCATTCTTCCTAAAGACCCAGCCAACCTCATCCCCATCACCCACCAAAAGGAAGAGAGCAGCCTCCCCTCCTCACCCTCAGCACTCCCCTCCTTCAGAGTCAACCCTGGACACTCATTTAAGACAACATTCTTTCTTCTTTAGTCTCTTTACTGTTCTTACCTCTCCCTGTGGCCTCTGAATTTCCCTGTCTTCTCTTCTTGTTTCCTCTCCTCCCACCTCCCCTCTGCCCCTGACACACACGCACTCTTCTGCCCTTTTGGAGTCATCTTCTCTAGCCCTCTCCATATCTTCCATAGATTTCTTCCCCCTGGATTTTGAATAGCAACATTTGAGTTAACAAAATGCCTTTCCTGAGACCTACCTCCTTCCATAGCATCCCCTGATTAAAGGAAGGGAAGCCTAGAACTCACCCTCCTCATTCTTGGAGTTGGCTCTCAGAACTACATAGGATGCAAAGCCTGTACCACACTGCAGTCTTGATTCATGGTTTCATGAAGTTTTCCTCTTGACTGGGCATTTCTTGAACATGACCATCGTGGTCAGTGTTTCAATGGATCCTGGGTCTAAAGACCTTCAGCGAGTCATTCCTAAAGGGTATGAACCATACTTGTGGCCTTCACCTCATGGAGCTTCAGTGTCCCAAGCATTACTGGATAACTTAATTAATGCTATCTACTTTTTACACTTTTATATTGGGATCCAGTAGAATATCTCCTTTTCCTTCCGTTCCTTGGCCCAGTTTACCCACTATTCACCTTCCTCAATATATAGTGAGCTGTCTGAGGGTACAGTCAGCATCTTCACTTTTATGGGGGCAGTAAGTGTTCCATCAATATTGGATAATGGATGAATGGATGGATGGGATTGGTGGGTAGATGAATAGATGGGTGGGTGGTTAGATGGAACAATGAATTGATGGGTGGATCAATGGGTGGATAGATGATGAGTGTATGAATAGGTGGATAACTGAGTGGGAGAGGTGAATGGATGAGCGGGTAGACGAACAGGTAGATGGATGATGGGTGAGTGTATGTGTGGGCAGATGAATGGGTGAAGGGTGAATGGGTGGGTGGGTGGGTGGATGGATGAATAGATGAATAACAATCATCCCAACTGAGCCTGGCATAAATCTTTGTGTGTTGGTAGGCACTGCAGCAGGAACTGGCTCTTTATTGGAGCTTCATGGAGAAGCTTGACCAGAGGGCCCAAACTCTCACTGGCCTTGAGGCTGCTGAGCAGCTGAGTACAATGTCGAAGAGGCTCTGGAAGCAGCTACAGGCATTGCAGGAGTTGGCAGCCTCAAGGTGAGGGCTATTGCAACCTCTCTCATCAGTGGGCACTGGTAATCTGGCTGGGGTTGACTTTTACCCACATGGTACCCCTAACTTGAAAAGAACCCATGACCCAAGCCCATGAGATGTGTCAGAAGAAGGATGAGTCCTTTTTGTGTGTTGCACGCCTCTTTTCATAAACTCCTCAATGAGAATGTAGTGGGCAGGAGCTCAGATCCCCCAACTCCAGTCATCTATCCCTTACCCATATCCATACCCCTCATCAACCCCCTACACTTGCCTTCCTATGTCTACTTCTTCCTTAACCCTGAGCTGCAGGCTTGGAAAAAGACCAAGAATTACCTCATTCTTCAGGTATTTGATTGGGCCAATTGTCCCAAAAAGTGTGAGCAAATTAATACTAGGTAACCATGGGCTGTCACCACAGGGACCAGGAGCTGGAAAGGACCCTGAAACTGCATGAGTTCATGAGAGAAGCTGAGGAGTTGCAGAGCTGGCTGACTAGCCAGAAGCAGGTGGCCAGAGGAGGAGAGAGCCCCGGAGAAGACTATGAACACGTCCTAGTGAGGAAATGGCTACGGGCAAGGAGACAGAATGAAATGGGGTGGGGAAGGTTGGTCCTGGCTAGGCTGTATGGAGAAAGGAATGGTGGGAGCCATCAATTCAAGGCCCCAAGCAGGAGCCTTGGGCCTCCTGCTTCCTTCTTCTGAGTGGAGTCAGCAGGTGCTGCAGCTGTCCAGCCCCATCTTGCCCACTCACTCACTGAGGCTTCTCACTTCCCTAGCTGCTTACTGCCTCGCCAGCTGGGGGCCACCCTGTCACCCACTCCTTTCTTCTCCTCAGCACCTCTGGACCAAGTTTGCAAAGTTTCAGCACCAAGTGGAGATGGGTGGTCAGTGGGTGGCAACCTGCCAGCAGCTGGCGGAGAGCCTGCAGGAGGCTGGGCCAAGTGCTAATCCCAGAGTCCGTCAGAGGCAGCAAGACCTACAGTGAGTGCCCAGTGGGTCAGGCCAAGGTTTCTGAGGGAAGGTGCTGGGCACACAGTTCCTGGGGTGTTAAGAGAGGCCACACTGGCTCTACCTGTCCACAAGGTATCTAGAGAGGGGCTTGTTCTAGGGAAGCTGAGCCAGCCCCAGGTGGCTGTGGCCTGTGAAAGGAGGCAAAGTTTGGTCTGCAGGTCAAAGAGCCCAGCCCAAAAGTCAACTCCTCAGGGTCACTTTTCCAAACCACAGGTTCCCTGGACTCATACGAGGAGCTCTAGGAAGAGCCTGCCTGAGCTGGGGCCAGGGTCCCTTCCACAAGCTTCTCCCCAACTCCCAGTCTTACATGTGTCACGGTCCTTGCCTTACCATGTTCCTAGTTACCTGCTAGCTGTGTGACTCCACCCTAGACTGTGAGCTTTGAAGCAAGATCACAGTTTATTCATAATCCCTAGTATAGAGCCTGACCTGGTGAGAAATGGAGAGATGCAGCTTCTCCCTTTGAAGTGTTTGCAGTCTAATTGTAATCTCATTGAAGCATCAAACACACAAGATATAGGGAGTATCACAAAGCATAGATATCAGTGAAGTACTGAGCTTTATAGTAGTAAGGGGAAAATTCCTAGTAAAGACAGAAAGACAGGCTCCTGGGAGGACAGATTGCAGGTAGGCTCAAGGGCAAGAGAAAGACTTAGGAAGAGGAGTAGCCATTCAGGACCTTTGGACAAGTCCTAGACACAACCCAGGAAGAAGAAGGCCTGACCAGACCAAGTCTGAGGGGGAGGAATGAGATGCTGGGCTGTCTGCTGACCTCCTGCTGGGTCTTCTGCCTGCCTGGGGACAGGGCTGCCTGGTCAGAGCTGTGGGAGCTGACCAAGGCCCGAGGCCACCTGCTCCAAGATGCTGAGATCACCCTCAAAGTTCACAGAGATCTGTCAGAAGTGCTCGCCCAGATCCAGGTGTGAACCTAGGGAAGAGAGGGGATTCTAGAAGTGGAGCCAAACCAGCCTCAGAGCCTCATTCTCAACTCCTGGTCCTTTGGCCATCTCCCCACCTCAGGAGAAAGTCACAAGCATCCCAGATGATGTGTTCCAAGACCTGCGTTGGGTAGAGGCCCAGCTGAGGAGACACGAGGAGCTGGAACGTGAACTTGTGGGCACCAAGCAGCTGGTGAGCCCAGGTCTTGCTGTCTCTTCCACTTGGGCCCTGAAGGGCTCCTCAGGCCTGGCCCATCTATTCCTCTAGCTTTTCCATGCTCCCTCAGGGTCTCTAGGGTCTCTAAAGATGGGTTTCCCTGTTTCCCTGCTGGACTCAGGTACTAGGCAGGGGACATGTCTGTGGAATCATCAGGCCCCATGGCCTCGGGAAGAACACTGCCCTTCCCTCCTTTTCCCCTACTCTGACCCCAGCTTCAGGAGCTGCTGGAGGCTGCAGGCAGAGTACAGAAGCTATATCCTGGGCCTCAGGCTGATGCTGTGCGGTGGAGGCAGCAGGCCGTGGTCCAGGCCCGTGAGGCCTTACAGCTGCGCATGGAGGAACGCAGGGCCCAGCTGGAGCAGGCATGCCTCCTGGCCCACTTCCACACAATGGTGAGAGCTTCTTCCCCTCAGGAGGCTAGCATGTGTGTGTGCATTGTACTGTGCATATGCATGCACTGACGAGGCCCTTCAGTTCTGGAAGAACAAGTGTGGACAGAAGTGGAAGAGCATGAGCTTGTCTGGACATCTGTGTGGCTGGCCAGAGGGCCTGGCTCAGGGTGTAGCACTGACTCCTTAGGTTGGGATCAGTGCCACCCCAGGTGAGTGATGGGGAAGTCATACAGGGGCCCACCTGGGGCTGTGGAATAAGAATAGCTCAAGTAAATCCCTAACTGGAAACCTAGATGCTCCTTCCACAGGTTCAAGACGGTGACTTGTGCATCAACCAGCATCTGTTAAACACATGTTTGGTGTTTGGCTCTGCTAGGAGCTGTGGTGGAAAGAAGAGGGTAATATAGAAACAACATAAGATGGGACAGCTGCTCTCATGGAGCTAATCTAGCTGGGAGATGAGCCTAATACTTCAGAGAGTCAGATTGGGACAGTGGGTCCAGGCCATGGGCTGTCCCATGAGTCTCGTGTCCCAGAACCTGGTAGAGCAGGAGCCCCAAACTATGACACTCCAAAAGGCTTAAGTTTAGGTCTCTAATTCTGCCATTTTCTAGCAGTGTGGGCTTGAGCAAGGCACTTAGTCCTAGACTGCACCCCTGCATTTGTCGAGCTCTTAGAGTTTACAAAACTTTAACACATATCATACTTTTTAACCTTCATCATGCAATGGATAAGGGTCCAAAGTCCCTCCAGTTCTCACATTCTGTGAGTTATTCTGCAAGAATCAACAAAAGATCACCTCTAAGTCTTAAACTGGCAGTCAGTGGACAAAGAAAGCAGTGGGACATCAAGCTGCCAGGGAGGGCTTCAGGAAGAAGAGAAGGACTTGGCCCTTGAAAAATGGGTAGACTTTGGAGAGGTGGGAAGGAAGGAAGAAGGAAGTTCTACGCAGGAGGAGCAGCAGGAGCAAAGAGGGGAGACAAGATTTTGTGAGGATGTGTTCTTCGGGGAGTGTGGGGAGGCAGGGAGGGCAGAGCTAGTACACATGGAGGCTTGATGGATCTGGGAGGATTAGTTGAATGAGAATGGAGGAACCAGATGACAAAGGTCCCGTAAGCCTCACTCAAGGCTCTGACCTGGGAAAGCTTGGGGGCAGCCCCCATGTGAGGGATTCAGGCCAGCTATGATTGTGCCTCAGTGCCTGGTTGCCTGCCACCCACTCCAACTCTCACTCTGCTCTCTCCCTCCATCTTCATGGGATCCAGGTACAGGACTATGCCTCCTGGGCAGCAAGCATGCAGCAGGAATTGCAGGTAGAGGAGTGGTCCCAGGACCCTAGCAGTGGTTCTCTAAAGCTCAGTGCCCACCAACAGCTTTGGGCCGAGCTCAAGGCCCAGGAGGAGCTGTACCAACGAGCTGGCCAGCTGGGCCAACAGATGCTTCTGACTGCAGGGCCATCCACCAAGGAGGTGAGTGCCCTTTCTGATGCACCCCCAGCCTACCTGACTGAGCCTGTGCCTGACCACCTTATGCCCCATCTCATGGTGCCATGCTGACCTCTTCTCAGAGGCTTCCCTTAGGACCACCTTCCTGTCTTGTCCCTGCTGCTCTCCCCAGCTCAGACTCCCCACACGCTCACCTCCAGGTCCAGGAAAGGCTGCGAGCCTTGCAGGACACACGGGAGCATGTGTTCCAGGCCTGGGAGCAGAAGCAAGAGAGGCTGCAGGCCATGCACCGTGAGCAGCTCTTCCTCAGAGACTGTGATCACCTGGACAAGATCCTCCAGGCCCAGGAGGCAGGTCCCCTTACCCCACAACACACGTACACCAGGATTTCCTGTCCTCTGTTTCCTCTTTCCCTGCTCTTTCCCTTAATTCCTGGGTCTCTGGCTTTTTTCTGGGAATTAGTCTAGCCAAGGGGGTATATGAACCTCCTAATATCCCCAGGCTAGTCAGGACCTCCTCTGCACCCCTACCCTACACCAGCTGAGCCCTGCAGAATTTGGTCAAAGGTTCATCATGCCTCCCACTTTGGCAGAGGTTGAGCTGTTTCTAGCCCAGCTGGGGTGCCATTCTTCCTCACAGGTCCTCCTCCCCCATGCTCAGTGCCCACCTGAACCCCCACCCCAGGTCCCTTGCTTCACCCCAGAGAGCCCGGGGACACTGCTCCAGCACAGGATGCAAACAAAGGAGCTGGCCATCTGGATAGTTCTTGATGGTCATCTGCTTTCTGGGGTCTTTCTGAACCACTGGTCAGGCTCCCAACTCCCCTCTTTGACTCTTCCATGGGCTGATCTAGGTCTTCCTGAAAGCCAGTGCCCTGGGGAGCTCAGTAGAAGAGGTGGAGCAGTTGATTTGCAAGCATGAGGCCTTCCAGAAAGTGCTGACTGCCCAAGACAAGAAGGTAATGGGCTTAAAGAGTCCCGTGCATGGTCAGGGTGGGAGTGGGGGAAGTCTAGGCATTTGGGGAAGTCCAGACTCTTTAGGGAGACAAGAGATATGGTGTGTACACAGGAGCAATGTGATATGTTAGGTGGCACCATGGAGGAAGGGGCGCCTGACTGTGGCCGATGACTAGGCAGAGTTGTCTGTGTGACTCAAGAAGAGCATGTGGCATGGAGTGAGCCATATTGCAGGAACCACAGAGGGCATTTGGCTCTGTCCATATCACATGGTCACTGGGGAGCAGCTTGGTTCTGACTTGGAACTGGGATTATCAGCCAGCCCTAAGTCTTGCATAGCTGAGTGAAGGGCTTCAGAAACCTCACAGAAAGGACTTTGAGCCTATGGGCCAGCTCCTGCTCCAGCCTCCCCAGATAGGAGAACCACAGGCTATGCCTTCCTACCCCACAGGAGGTGGCCATATGTGAGCAGGCAAAGGCACTCCAGGGCCCCAGGGTGCAGGGCTTGCTGAGTGCAGTGCTGGAGCGGCGGGCTCGAGTGAAGGACTTGGCAGAGAGCCGGCGACATGCACTTCATACCTCCCTGCTGACAGCTGCTTTCATCAGGGCCAAGACACAGGTCAGAGGGCACCCCAGCCCTGTGCCTCCCACTTGAGCAGCATTTTACCTTTGCAAATGACCTTCACCTTCATGAAGGGCCTCACCACAATTCTGTGATGAGAAAACTAAGGCTTAGAGAGTTCAGTGACTTTTCCAGAGGCTAACTGTGACTGGCACCCAGAACATTTGATTCTCAGACTTGTGTATGAAGACCCCACCTGTTTTCTCAGCTCCAGAAGAGCCAGAGCAAAGAGTGGTGGGAATGGGGCAGAGCAATCAGGGCCCAAGGGCAGGGGTGCTATCCTCCACATGAGATCCCATCCAAGACTCCTACCCAGACCCTTCCTGGGTTTGAAAGTCAGCAAGGTCTGGGGCATGTCTTTCTGGGCTAGAACCATTATTTCTCATGTGCCTGGAGCCACCCAGCCCTGCCAGTGAGGCCAGCACTCAACCACCCAGGCATAGCTGGGGGGGCAGGGCAGGCCTGGGGAAATCTCTGTGGCCAAAGCAGTATTGATTACTGTGGGGTCCATGTCCCCACCTCCCCACAGGCCGAGGACTGGATCCAGGAGCGGGCCCAGCAGCTGAAAGAGCCTGTCCCTCTTGGGGACCTGAAAGATAAGTTGACACACCTGCAGAAACATCAGGCCTTTGAAGCTGAGGTCCAGGCCCATAAGGAGGTCGTAACCTCTGTTGTCAAGGTAACAACCAACCCCACCCCCTTGTTTCTCCATTCCCTGCCCTGAAGTGTGGACTCCCACATGGCCAAGAGGAAGGGTCTCAGGCAGGGGAAGCCTGTGATGGCAGAAAGGCAAGAGGAAGGGCAACAGCCAAGATCTCCCAGTGTCCCCTCTCTCCACAGAAGGGCGAGGCTCTACTGGCACAGAGCCATCCTCAGGAGGGAGAGATTGCGCAGAGGCTGCAGGAACTGCAGGAGCACTGGGAGAAGCTGAGGCAGGCGGTGGCGCTCCGAGGCCAAGACCTGAGGGACCAGCGGGACTTCCTGGAGTTCCTGCAGAAGGCGGACCTTGCAGAGGCCTGGATCCAGGAGAAGGTGAAGGACCAGCTGACCAGGGGCCAAGCTGGGGGATGGGGGCGGGGTAAGGTGGAGAGAGGTGGGTCAGGAGGAGCCCCAGGCCTGTATTTCCTCGTCAAGAAATCCCAAAAACTTCCACGGATTGCCAGCAGCTGGGTCCCAGGGGGCTGGGCGGGCCTGGGGCCTGTGCTCAGAGTGCCTCTTTCCCGGGCCCTCGGTTTCCACAGGAAGGCGTGCTGAACATCACCGACCTGGGCCAGGATCTTGAGCACTGCCTGCAGCTCAGCAGACAGCTCTGCAAGTTCCGAGGAACCTTGGCTGGGGTAAGGGGGCCCTGCCCGTAGAGAGGTCGGCCATGACATCCCCTACTGGGAAATATAGCTCAAGCAGTGGAAGAGCAAGGAGCACTGGTAGTACAGTGATAAGTACTTGGCTGCTAACTGAAAGGCCAGCAGTTCAAACCCACCAGCTGCTTCATGGCAGAAGGATGAGGCAGTCTGCTTCTGTAAAGATTTACAGCTTTGGAAACCCTGTGAGGCAGTTCTACTCTGTCCTGTTGGGTTGCAAAGAGTCAGAATCAACTTTGTGGCAATGGGTAGTGAGAGAACATGGGCTCTGAAGCCAGGCTGGATTTAAGTGCCACACTTATTACCTGCACTTACTGAGGCCTTCGTTTCTTCATCTTTATGATGCCAACCTCACAGGTAATGATGTGAGGTAGTGCTCTCACAATCTACACATTTGACTAAATTGCACAGAACTATACCCCTTACACACACACACACATACACACACACAGATGAGTACATGTAAAAACAGGATGGAATCTATTGAATAAAATCTGTCATCTAGTTAATAGTATTGTCCCAATGTCAGTGATCTGATTTGAATATGGTACTATATAATATGTTATCATGAAGGGAAGCTGGAGGAAGAGTTCAGGGGACCCTACTGTATTACTTTTGCAACTTCCTATAAGTTGCAAAACAATTGTTTCAAAATAGAAAGTTAAAAAAAGAAAAGAAAGCATGTATGTCTAGAATGTAGTAGTTGATCAATAAACAGCAGTTGCTCATAACCCTCCTTCTGTGTGACTATTTCAGCATATCCTTCTCACCTCTATTTTTCCCCTCTCCCCCCTATCCCCACACACACCCCAAGAATCTATTTCTCTTATGTGGTACAGAGGAAAGAAATTTGACAAATATATTCACAATCAGGGTTAGAGACCAAAATAGGCTCATCTCATTTCCCCAGTATAAGCATATATGATTATTTAAAAAGCTGCAGTGCTTAAATCTAAGACATATGTTGCTGATGGTGGAACTTCACAGACCAGGGGGATACATGATGTCTTGCAGTAAATAGAGTCCTAGACTTACAGGAGCTGGGCTTGTCTCCCGGCTCTACCACAAGCTAGCTGAGTTACCTCTGGAGTCTGCTCTGTCACCTATAAAAGGAGAGAAACAGTCTTTGCTGCCTACCTTGTCTAAGACATTTCATAGGGAAATGCTTTGGAAACTGTAAACAGCTTTACAAATGTTAGGTGCTTTCACTAGGGGCAGGACACCTGCAATCCCACCCTATTGGGATGCCCTCCCTATAAACCTAGACCAGTGTCAGAGCAGTGACAGCCTCAGGCCAGACAAGTCCTTGGGGTTGGGGCACCCAAACCCCAAGAGAGCAGAGCTCACTGTTTTACCCCACCCTGACTTTGCTTTTTTATCCCAAAAAGCTGCGTTTTAACTTTAAAAGCCTCAGTCAGTGTGTGCCCATCCTTCACCTCCCTCCTGGCACCTGACCCGGGGAGCACTGTTTCTGGCCTCAGAGGTGACTCTGGGGCTGCAGGCACCAGGTTGATCTTGCTCACTGCACCTGGAATGGGATGGCTTCAGGCACCTGGCAGGTAGAGGAAGCCGCTGCCTCCCACTCCCCATAAATGCTGTTCTTCATGCTCGCTTGGGCCCAAGCAGACCCTCCAAGTGCCAACTGCAGTGCAAAGAAGGGACTCTGAGGGAGTGGTGCAGTGCCCTCACCCTGCACCTCCCCCCTCAGGACTTGGTGAATGCGCGCATCAGGAGCATCAGTGACTTGTCACTGCAGCTCAAGATCCGGGACCCTGACCAGGTCAAGGCTATCTATCAGCGGCAAAACCAGCTCAACAACAGGCCAGTCCCAGCTGGGGAAGGCAATGGGGCTGAGGGCTACCTCAGACCCAACCTGACATTCCCCTTCCCCTCCAGGTGGAATAGTTTCCATGGCAACCTGCTCCGGTACCAGAGGCAGCTTGAAGGGGCTCTGGAGATACACACTTTGTCATGTGAGCTGAATGGCATCACCATAAGGATTGTGGAGAAAGTAAGTGGGTAAGGGAGTCCTGATGTTGGCTGAAAGTAAAAGCATGCAGGCCAAGGGGTGCTGCTCACATTCTCCTAGCTTTTCACCCCTCAATGGCTCTGTCAGGATCCTCCAGTGATTGGCCACTCTCTGATCAGCTTTGGACCACTGAAGCCCCGTGTTGCAGCTCCAGAGATTGTACCCCTGGCTCCTTTCTCCCTAAATCTATCATAGATCCAGAGCACACCCCTTGGTGTCCTCCTCTCCCTGACCAGAACCCACAGGAAGGTCCCCCAGAAAAACACAGGCGAAAAGTTAGCAAAGATGAAAGCGAGGAAGCTATATGCCACCTGAGAAGCCTTCGTGCGTGGAAGATGCTCCTGTTCAGGGCACGTGAAGGACTCTTGTCTAATTGTTCTCACTCCTCCAGCACCTGCCTGCCACACTCTATTGCTTCACTTCTGAGTCCCCTGAAGGGATGAGAATCAGATGGGATGGTGTACCAGAAAACACCACATGAATGTGAGGTTATTACCTCCAAGGAACCTGCAAACCCCATGTCTCTCCAGGGCCTCTTCCTCCTTCACATGGGGCAGGGCCTCTGGTCAGGGCCAAGGCTCTGCTCCAGCCCCATGGTGGGACAACAGGAAGGGAACTGGTGTTAAGGGCTCATGCTGGGTGCTGGCTCTCCACACAGAAACCCTGTGACCAGCACTGCTATTTTCATTGTACAGGCAGGTAAACAGACTCTGTACCTGCCTGGGGCCATACAGCTGGCAAGGTCAAGACTGGGCCCTCTGCAATGAGGGAGGAACAAATGCAGGGGCAGAAGACAAAGGCCAAGCCTGTAACAACCCTATTCCTCCCCAGAGTGCCCTGGCCCAGGCCCTGGACTTCAGGAAAGATCTGAAGCACATACAGGGGCTGCTGTGCAAACACAAGGAGTTGGAGCAGGCAATGGGCCTGATTCAAGCCCAGGTGGAGGTGTGCAACTCCGTTTGGAGGGAGGGCCCAGGCCCAGGATACCTCCTCTGTGGGACTCTGGGCAGGCATGGGGCCAACCAGGCCAACCCACCTGCATGCCAGGGGTCTCCTGCAGCCGGGGACTCCCCTGAGCACAGCCTGGTCCCCTGCCCCAGCCTCTGACCTTCCCAACAGCCCCTGGAACATAAAGTGGTCCGCCTCTGCCAGAGGAGCCCTGGGGCAGCCCACAGCCTCAGCTGCAAGCATCGGGAGATGATGGACAGCTGGCGGCAGCTCCAGAGTGAGGCCCAGAAGCGGTATAGCCCCTTGCATCTCCTTCCCTGACTACCCCTCTGCAACCAGTCCCTCCAACATATCAGTCCCCACACATCTCCTTGGCCCCCAGGGTTTCCTCTAAGCTTCTTTCTCCTCCCCTCAAATAACAGCCAATATGGTCACCCCATCTGACTCCCTGCCCCAGTCCGTGGGCCCTCTGTGTGTGGCTTTGGGGATTAAGGGAGAGAAGACACTAGTGGCCCAGGGGGGAAGGAGGGGCTCAGAGGTCCTGCACCTGTGGGTAGGAAGGAGTCGCTGGACGCCTCATACCAGGCTCAGACACTCCAGGCGATGCTGCAGAAATTGCTGGTCTGGGCCCGGGGGCTGCGGGCTCTGATGGACGTCGGAAGCCCTCCTGGCAGCGCTGCAGAGGTCCGGAGTATGTTAGAGGAGCACCAGGAGCGAAAGGTGAGCGAGCCGTCCCCTGAGGCCTTTCCTGTGAACCTGCCTCCTCCTCTGCTCACCACCTCCTCTGCTCCCAACTTGTTCTTCTCTTTGTCTCTCGCCCCTACCTTTCTCCTCTCCCATGGCACTCCTCCAGCTCTCTCTGCCACCTCTCCTTCCCACTGGGCCTCCACCAGCCCTGGAAGGCCTCAGCTCTGGGGATCTGAGCCCAGTCCTGTTCCAGGCCGAGCTGGACTTCCGAACAGAGAGCATCAGGCTGGTGCGAAGCATGGGACAACGGTTGCTCACAGCTGGGCACCCATCCACCCCGGACATTTGCCGGTTGCTAGCTGGGTTAGAACAGGAGCTGAACAGTCTGGACAGGGCCTGGCAGGAGCACCAGCTACAGCTACAGCAGGCCCTGGAGCTGCAGGTAGGCACAGTGCAGTCCCCAGCCTCCATCCTCCCCTCCCACCCCACTGCTCCTGGTGAAAGCTAGAGCCAAAGAGGCTGCTGTGTCAGAGGCTTTTTCACCCCTACTCCCACCACTCACCTCTCGGCTCACCCACAATATATATTGCCTGCTGTGGACTCATTCTGTTGAGCCAAGCTTCAGGCCCCTGGCCCCCCACCTGGGCCATCAAATAGGTCACCTGACTTGGTATGATTTGCCCCTCTGATGACTTTCTCTTGCCTTCTCCTTTCTCAACAGCTATTTCTGAGCTCTGTGGAGGAAATTGAAAGTTGGCTCTGTAGCAAGGAACTTTTCCTAGCCAGTGAGGAACTGAAGGTATGTGCCCAGCAGGGGTGGGGAAGAATTTACAAGAGCACCATCCAGCACTGCCAGAACTCCCCAGGTCAAAGGGGATCATCCTTCCTTCGAGCTCCTCCTCCCTCAACCGCAGTATACTTATGCTTCAGCCAGTTAACAAATAGTCACTGAGCATCTCCTGTGTGCGTGGTGATAGGCCCATGGGAGTGCCCAGGGGCTTAGAGAGTGAACGTGTGATCCTCAGACACATTCTTGTCTTCTCCCCACAGCCTTTCTCACCTCTGTCCTCCTCACTTCCCACACACCCGGAGGATTGCTTTCCCCACCACTGCCCCAAACCCCTTTGGCAGATGAGCTCCACCCATGGGAGATCTCAGAGAATAATTAAAAATAGCCCTGGTGGTGCAACTGTAAAATGCTTGGCTGCTAACCAAAAGGTTGGCAGTTCAAACCCACCCAGCAGCTCTGCAGGAGAAAAACCTGGCAATCTGCTTCCATAAAGATTACATTCTAGAAAACTCTATGAGGCAGTTCTATTCTAACATATGGTGTCACTATGAATCGGAATTGACTCAACAGGACCCAACAACAAACTGTCCTGTATCGACACAGTCTTACTGGGAGTGCAGAGGAGGGGGTGGTCATAGGTCTGTGTCATGTGACAAAGCTCCCCCGGCCCTGGAAATTCTGACACTTGACCTCTGTCCTCAATATGACCCCCGATTAAGAATCACTGCCCTAAAGCCAGACACAGCCTTGAGAACCATCTCTGGGATTTGAGGGATGTGTTTTTTGGGGGTGTAGAGCAATTGCCTTGTGGATGAGCACTTGGTAGGATGACTCTTGATGGAAAAGCAGATATCTTGGGATTAGGATGGGGAAGGACAGCCCCATAGTCAGTCTCAGGCTTTCTTACTCCTGCCAGGACCCCTTGGCCAATGTGGAGACCCTCTTATGGAAGCACAAGGTACTTGAGCGGGGCCTGGAGGCTCAGGCAGAAAAGATCAGCTCACTGGAAGTCACAGCCCATCACCTGCACCAGAATGGACACCCCGAGGCCCAGAGAGCCCTGGGCAGGTGTCAGGCCGTGTTCCTGAGGTACCACTTGGGATTAGGGGTACGGGAGCTGTGTGAGGGCTGGCGTGAGCGTGAGGCATTCCTGCTCTTCCCTTCCTGCCCTTTCACCTCTTGGCCCCAGGCTCACCAGACTTTTCCCTGAGTGTGTCAGCCATTATGGACTTCAACACACAGAAATTTCAACCTCCCTCTCAATTCAGCTGACACAGTGGAGCTTTTCAAAGGAAACGTTTACTAGGACACTCAGAGGAAATGTATAATGGACTAGGAGGTACCATGGCCCAGATGGTCCTGAGTTCTACTGCTGCCCATCAATGGCAGGAAAGGGGACCCTTGATGCTCTTGGCATGGCACCTGACACAAGTGGGCAGATTAGTAGATTTCTTATCCCAGTTTAACAAGTTCAGCCACAGATAGACTCAAGCACCACAGTTAGTAGACACAAGCTCCCCCCTCTTTCCTCATAAAAGCTCATCTGGTTTGGATGCCTCATTCAGCAATTCAGCCTTTTAGATCAAGGCAGATTTGGCTGAATGCTGGATCCCAGAAACAGCCCACAGCACCCTGTGATGTTTCTGGCTTCTCCCATGCCTGTGCTTGCGACTGGCAGGGACAGGGACCACCTCTCCCTGACTTTTCTTTTTTCTTTTTTTAAACTTTTTATTGTGATTTGGGTGAAAATTTACAAAGCAACTTGGTTTTCCTTCAAATAAGTCATACACATTTAGTTTTGTAGCATTTATTGCAATCCTCACAACGTAACAGCACTCGACCTACTTCCTCCCTGTGTTGACCATTTCCATTCCTCCTTTTTCCTCTCCCTTCCCGCCTTCTGGCTTTGTCCCTGAGCAAGGGCTGATCCTCTGATCTTGAATGGTTGATTGTTCTAAGGAGTGCCTACCTCCCTGGAGTTAGTGTTCGCCTTGAAAGGCTTGTGTATTGTTTGGCTGAAAGTTGAGCCACTCAGGTGAGTTCAGTTCCAGGCTTGAAGGGTATCTCAGGGCCACTGACTCAGTGGTTCCACCAGTCTTGATCGGACCAGTAAGTCTGGTCCTTTTTATGATTTTGAGTTTTGTTTCACATTTTTCTCCCTCTCTGTCCAGGACCTCCTGTTGTGATCCCTTTCAGAGCAGTCAGCAGCAGTTGCTGGGCACCATCTAGTTCTTCTGGTCTCAGGGTCGTGAAGGCTGGGGTTCATGTGGTCCATTAGGCCTTTGTTTCCTTGGGTCTTTGATTTTCTTCACTCTTCTTTTCTCTGGACTGGGAGAGACCAATAGTTGCACCTTAGTTCCCCACTCTTGCAGGTAGGCCCCACCTGGATTATACATGGTGATCTTTGAGTTGACAAATGGCAAATGCCGATCTGCTTGCCTCTGTTAACACAACCCCTCCTCTCGGTTAGCTTTGGTGCCTACTGGCAGCCCAGCTATCCCTCCGCACAGCACCACCTGACCTCTTTCTCCCTCCCAGGCTTCTGCCTTCCTCTGATAGGGTGCTTCCTTTCTGTCAAGCCTCTCAGAATCTCCCAACCACCACACTGTTTAGGGGGAGACATAGGTCCATACACATGTCAGTGTGTGCTGGTATGGGGTGTGGGGGTGGGGGAGAGGTATGCTCCACTATAGGAGGCATGAGGTATGGGAAGATGCAGAGTAGGAAGAAAATATTAAAATTTCTCTTCCTATTTATGTTTTAGATCTCATGCTTAATTTCAATTTTTTGTGCATATGACAATGTATCTAATATATTGGTATCAAACCAAAGACCAAACCCACAGCCATCAAGTCAATTCTGACTCATAGTGACCCCCATAGGGTTTCCAAGGCTGTAAATCTTTGTGGAAGCAGACTTTCTCCTAAGGAGCGGCTAGTGGGTTCGGATTACCAGCCTTTTGGTTAGCAGTCCAATGTCTTACCCATAGCACCACCAGAGCACCTTATGTATATTAGTATATTAGTACCAAACAAAACCAAACTCATTGCCATTGAGTCAGATACAACCCATAGTGACCCCTCCTTGGGTTTCCGAGGTGATATCACTGCAGAAGTAGATTGCCCAACGTTCCTTCCGAGGAGTGGCTAGTGGGTTTGAACCACCAGCCTTCTGGTTAGCAGTCAAATGTCTTAGGTACTACACCACCAGAGCTTCTGTATATTAGTACAGAGATATATAAATGTAACTATAAATAAATACATGTTTTGGGGGTGACTGCCCCAAAATTTCTTGCTAATAGTAATGCATAAAAAGGAAAAAAAAAAAAAAAACATTTAGATACTAATAAAGAGGGGGAGTAGAAGATGTCTCTATTTCAGTGGAAACCCCAGACTTAAGATGTATTGATACCCAAGAAAGACTGCCGTGTCTGTGTGTGTGTGTGTGTGTGTGGTGCACACATGGAACAGCTCCAGATCATGACAGATGACTTGCGAGCCATGAGACCCTCCTTCTGGCAGGAAAGAGGCACTCCTGAAGCGAGCTGGGACCCGCCACCACCAGCTGAAGGGGCTACAGCAGCTACAGAAGTTCCTGCAGGATTCCTACGAGGTTCCCCTTGCTTGGTGGTGGGGAGCTGTGGGAAGAGGGAAGGAGTTCCGCCGGGAGAGGCCACCTTTCCTTTGGGTCAGCGGTTGAGGGGACAGGGAGGGCCCCAGAAACAGATCCTTTTCTTACCATATGCCCAGGTGACCGCATGGCTGAGGGAGAAGAACCAGGTGGCTCTGGAAGAGGGCTGGCAGAACACAGCCACTTTGCAGACACAGTTGCAGAAGCATCAGAATCTCCAGGCCGAGCTAGACTCAATAGCACACCTGGAACAGAGGCTGCAGATGGTGAGGCCAAGGGAGACACGGAGAGTCCTGCAGCCAGAGCACAGGATGCCCCCACAGCACTCTGTGGCTGTTGTTCATTGAGTACCTTGTGTGTAGGCGCCCTGCTGAGCTCTGAAACGTGGTGAGAAGCAGTGCTTCTCCTGGGTACACTCTCCAAAAATAGTGCCTTTTCAATAATTTGGGGGGAGAGGGGAACAATATTTCTTTTTTCTTTAAACACTGCAATAATTTGCCATTTTAACCATTGTAAGTGTACAGTCCAGTATCATCAGTCACACTCATAAACTCATGCAACCATCACCACCGTTTCCAAATTTTTTTCCATTACCCCAGATAGACACTTGGCACCCATTAAGCAATCACTCCCTATCTCTCCCTCCTCCCAGTCCATGGTAACCACTGATCTCCTTCCTGTCTCTTGTCCATTCTAGATACTTACTATTAATGGGATGACATCACATTTGTCTTTTCGTGTCTCGCTTATTTCATTTAGCATAATGTTTTCAAGGGTACTTCATACCCTAACATATATCAGAACTGTGTTCCTTTTTGATGGCAGAATAATATTCCATTGTATACCACATTAGTTAGTCCATTCATCTGTTGATGGACACCTGGGTTATTTCCACCTTTTGGCTGTTGTGAATAATGCTGCAATGTCAATAAGTTTAAAGATAATATTTTGTCGTGATGGTTTTAAAAACTGTCTTGAAAAGACCTAAGTTAGAAGACATGGTAAGACCAGACCAGCAATCTTGCGGGTAAAGTGTCAAAGAATAGCTCCTTTTTTTTTATATTCTCACTTCTATCCACAAAGGGAAGGCCCTGCTAAGTATTATATATGTTTTCTCTCATTTAAACAAAAGAATTCATCATTATCCCCATTATATATAGGGAAAACAAGGCTCAGAGAGGTTAAGGAACAAGCTAGCACACAGACTCTGTGGCCATGGGACTGCTGCTTTGAGCAGCCCTGAGTCCACCAGGTATGTTCCTGTGTTGTGGCTGTAGGAGGGGCAGAGGCTGCTGCAAGAGGGCCACCCAGCCTTGGAGACCATCCAGGCGCGGCTGCAGGAGCTGAGCGAGCTCTGGGATCAGCTGCAGGCCAACTGCCGGAGGAAGGCAGCCAAGCTCCAGGAGACCTGCAAGGTGGGGCTGTGCAAGCCACGGAGCAGGATGGACAGGGTGCCAGGCCTCCCTTCAGTGTGCCCACCTCACACTCTCCCCAGGCCCTGCATCTACAGCGGAGCCTGAGGGAGCTGGAGAGCTGGCTAGAGCCCGTGGAGGTGGAACTGCAAGCCCCTGTTGGAGGACAGGACCTTCCTGGGGTGGGCGAGCTCCTGGCAACACAGGGAGAACTGGAGGCAGCAGTGGACAAGCAGGCTCGACAGGCACGGACCCTGCTAGACCAGACCCAGGCCTTCATCCAGGAAGGGCACTGCCTGGACATAGAGGAGCAGGCCCAGCTGCTGCTTCAGAGGTAGATCTACCCATGCCCTAATTCTGAGTGCCTCCTGCTCACGCTCCCTTCCTGAAAGGATGTCCACCCCTACCCCAGCTCATCCCTCTCAGGGCTTCTCTGCCCAGCATGAGGGGCACCGAGTGAGTGAGCTCTGGGTCACTTTCTAGCCTTTATACTGACCACTCCATCCTCTGCCACTGCTACAGGTTCGAGAGTCTGAGGGAGCCCCTGCAGGAGCGCAGGGCGGCCCTGGAGTCCTGGAGCCTCCTCTACCAGTTCTTCAGGGATGCCGACGAGGAGATGGCCTGGGTGCAGGAGAAGTTCCCCCTGGCTGCGGCCCAGGACTATGGCCAGAGCCTGAGCACAGTGCGGCGCCTGCGGGAGAAACACCAGGTGCCAGCCCACCCAAGATGTGGGAGGGGAGACTGTCTGGCCCCAGCACAGTGCAGGGCTTCAGCCAAGAAGATGGAGTTTGTGGCCCAATTAGGAGCTCTCTGCCTCCCTGGGCTTCTGGGGGCATCCTGGATTCTTTGTTGGTTACGGGGACGGGGATTTCTTGGGAGCAAGTCGGTGGGGTCCCGTGGGGCTTCAGGCAGACGTCTGAGTGTCCCCCAGGGAGTGTCCAAAAGCATACCCAGCCCTATCTTCCTTCTGCTCCACAGAACTTGGAGCATGAGATCCGCAGCCACGAGGCCCTGACCCGGGTGGTGGTGGGCACGGGGCACAAGCTGGTGCAGGCTGGTCACTTTGCCACCCATGAAGTGGCTGCCCGGGTGCAGCAGCTGCAAAGTGCTATGGGTGGCCTGCGAGCAGAGGCCGAGCGGAGGAGGCTGCTGCTGCGGCAGGCTGAAGAGGCCCAGCAGCTCCTGACAGAGGTGACGGGGGAGTGGAAAGTGGAGGGCCAGGGTGTGCAGGGTTCAAAGGTAATCCTCACTGGGAGCTCCTGGCTCTCGCTGCATCTTCTGTCACTTCCACTAAGTGGTCTCCTGCCCACTAAGGTTCCCTTTTGCATGTTTCCCACTGACAGGAACACAGGGTTCTTTTGTTTTGCTTTCCTGTTTCTTCTAACCAGTGGTTCTCAGCCAGTGCTCTACATTAGAGTCACCTAAGACCTTTAAAAGGAGCTCTGGTAGCATAGTGGCTAAGGCACTTGATTGCTAACCAGAAGGCTGGCGGTTCAAACCC